TTGCAAAAAGCCCTATTCTTGGAGCCAGTTAACTGCGCTCTCCTCACTATCGATAATCGAATAAAAATCTCGGCTTTGTATCTTGGCAAGTACTGCTGTCGATAGGGCAACGTGGCACTATATACAGTATACCTAAATATATGGGCTTCCCGTACTGACAGGCATATTTAGGGGCATATTTGGAGGTGGGGGGATTGCTTCCGGGTAGACACCCTAATCCCCCCCCCCCCCCCCCCAAATACGCCACCCAATATGCCTATCAGGTCACCAGGGACACCACCCCATACGGTAGGTCACACGTCATACGATGACCCAAGAAACTACTCAATCTGAGGTCCCGACTCATAAGCAGAGCGTTAAAAAACATTATATTTAGCCTGAACTTAGCTGTCAGGCCGGATGAGAAAGAATACAAGTAATTATTCTCGATGGGCCGTTTGCCATTCGGTTTCAAATTTGGCCCAAGAACCTGTACAAGGCTTACGAGGAATCAGGTACAATCCACCATGAACGCGCTGTGATGTGCGGACTAGGGCGATAAAAGCAGACGATGAGAATGGGGGCGGAGCTGTGGTCACGTGACCTGAAGCATTTGAAATATCTTTCCCTTTCATTGTCGGGGAAACCGTCAAACCTGGTGGTTGGTCCTGGAACTAAGCAGGACTGGCCAATGGGATGATTTGATCGCTGTGACGTATGAAAAATGGTGGCCTCCGTCTCACATAGGCTGATTTTCCTGTATAGAGGGAAATTCGGTCGGATGGACCCGGGTGTTTCTTTACATCTGTTTCCAAAGGATCTTGAAGGCATGCACATAAGTTGACTTACTTCGCACAAGGCCTTATGATTTTGCCCACGAAGGCATCAAATCTCTTCTCAGTTTATCACGGAAAAAAAACAGCTCATCGACACCTGACGCGTCCCAAGCTTTCACAACCTGGTGAATATATGCAATAAGTCAAGAACTGACTTCCCAAATTCAATTTAGGCGTAGGCCTACCAAACTCTGCGTTTTTGAAGGCTTCAAATGAGTCCATGAGTGCGGTTGACCACGTCCACACTCCCAAGAACCGACTAAATAGAGCTGTTTTCGAACACTGTTTTGCAAGTGAATTCGTTCCACCTTCAACGTAGACTCCCATGGCCTAATGTCTTCCCACCGCAGGAAATACACCCTCACCTCTATGGAAGCTCCATAGAAATAACGTTGAACGACGTAAAAGGTGGTACATTCATCGCGGAAACACCAGCGGCAGGTCTTCCGACCGACCTCCCAACGACGCGACGCAAAGATCCACCAATCAGGAACGACTTGGCAGTCACGTGATCTTCGGTACAACGTCGTGCGATTCGTCCGAGTCAGTTCCCATCTGGATGGCGGATGATTCACTGCGTCGTGCTGAACCTGGCTCCCAATATAATACTCTAAAATAGGCCTATGTGCTACCCCGTGAAACGACAATCCGTGCTGGCCTGCTGGCCTTGGTCTTCGGTGTCTCTCCGTAGAGACGGTGAACAATGGGTTGTCTTTCCGCCTGTCGCCTGAAATCCTTGGAATTTCGCAGGTAAGCCAATTTGCAGTTGCTACAATTCTGGCGAAAAAATGCAGCAAATTTTTTATAATTAGGGATTTGCAAGTTAACTAAAATACATAACTGTATATGACTGAGTCTGTATGACGCAGCTACAAATGTTGCCGGTGTTGCCAATGTCGATGGACGACATCGGCCAAAAATAATTGCAACATTTGATGCCGACTTTCACCTCGGACTCCTCAGAATGTTGCCGACTTCCGTCAATTTTATTGCAACAACCCCGAACGATATCGACAGAATGACGTCGATTCGGCAGAACTTCGACGACGTTCTCGTTTCCATAGTGGCAACGGTGAAAAATAAAAACTGAGAAAAGCTATTTGAGAATAAAATCCGGCATTTTAAAATTATTTCCCACGTCAGATGTTGATGCAACTCTTGCAACTTGCAACAGAACTTGTGCAAACTCGAAGATACCAATGCCAACACGTTCCCCGGAGCACGTGCGAAAAAAAGCACCGTGAGCCTGTTCACGAAGTTTTAGCAGTGTTGGGGCTTCGTTGGTTTCCATTCTGTGACATTTGCCATTTGAGACCGTGTCCTGCAATTTTTTTTTTCCTTGAAAACGTTTTCACGAATATTCCTTCTCATTCAAGCAAACCAAAAAGCTTCCAGAAATAACATTTTAGAGTATTTTTTGCAGGTTTTACAACGTCGAGCAGGACTTTTGCCCCACTGGACACTTTTGCATGGTTATTTTTTTTTTGAAGACTAAAATGATGAGCCCATTTTTAAAAAATAGATTTTCGTGGGGAAAGGGAGCTGAGCGGGGAACCATCTAGTATTTACTGGAAGAAACAAGGTTCCCCCAGCCGACGGAAAGATGTCGCTTAAATCGCAAATGCCACCACGAATTCCCCATTACTTTTCCTTCCGCTCCTGATCCTTCCTCGCTGGCAAGTTAAGACATTGTAATTTCTCGATTCAGCCGTCTAAATAATCCAGCCCGTTAATTTAAAGGTAATTCCGGCAATTCGGGCAATTCCGGCTCAGAGCACGGAGAAACGACGGTCATTAAACTCCCCGGACTGTCATTATACGTACTTAAAAGAAGTACTTGCAGGCTCATCTAAGTAGGACCTAACGTCCAGTGAATAAAGCGGAAAGACGAATCGACTTTACTTCTCGTCAGAAGATCCCCCCCCCCAAAAAAAAAAAAAAATTATTGAAAGGCCAATCAACCCCCAATTAACGACTGGAGCGGAAAGTGGACTCCTCACCTCCTCACACCGTTCCCATGAAGGCCCCCTGGCGGGACCACTTTCCTCAGCTGATTGCATCTGGCTCGTTAGAGGCGCGGTAACGAACACTACAATTTCCGCCGCTCCATCAGATAATGGAAGAATGTAATGGTTAATAGAACGTTTAATGGTGAACGTTGAGGATTGAAGCAAAATCGCTCATCGACATTCCCAGAACGTCGCTCCAGGAATGTCACCACCAAAACGTAATTTTTTCCTGCTCATCCGTCCAACGTCGACCGCTAAATGAATTTCGTTCTTTGTGACCATCGAAAATTAGCCAAAAGTACGACTACATAGTGCCGAGCGACTTGATCGGCCAGTGCTGCTCCATCATGCAGTCAGTTGCGCCATTATTTATCGCTTTACGGAGTGAAACCTACTCAACAGGCAGCGCAGAGAAAATTTGCATTAACAATGGAAAATTGCACTTCCTCGTATGTCTGTCTGTACTGCATGTCTCTGTGTCTGTCAGCAAAACGCTGAATATTGAGCGCTGAAACTTTGCACACGTATTGAGTATTGCTCCGGCTCGACCCAATCCGTGCTCAAAAATTGCAATTTCCTGAAACCGAAGAGCCATCTGGTAATTTCTCAGACGAACAAGATTTCCAGAACAGGAGATAGATGGCGTTTAAATCGACGTTCTACCAATCCATCCCCAGGATTTCTTGGACTCGTCAAGAAAAATTTAACTCGAGTTTTTGTGAAGCAGAAAGGGGCATATCCTCATCTGAGTGCATGCCGACAGATGCTTGAGAGTGGAGTGTAAAACACCAGGCCAGACTGGCAACCAAGGCCCCCCCCACAATGAAGACCAAGGGCCGCCGCACCTGGTGCAGGGACCCTTTGGTTTGGGGACCCCCCGAGAAATTTCCCAGTATCTCTGTGGGCCAGTCCGACCCTGGACACGGGTCAGATGACCATTTCGCTTTTGTGCAGTTGTGCAGTTGTTTTGTGCAGTTGTGTGCTCAATTATGAAACAAAAAATGGAAATAAGTGTCAATTGTACATTGTGTACTCGTGATCTCGCTATGAGTTTATCGCAAAACAGATGACTGTCACTTTCAAATTCTGAGCTTGGGGTAAAAATTCAAAATTTAAAGGATAGTTTTCGGATTTTCTGCGATTTTTTTGTATCGATAAGGGATGCGATGCACGCTTATTCGTGCGTGAGTGCACAGTTTGACGAAATTACAGTAGATAGTTATTGGAATACATTCCGCTCTGTTCTGCCCAGGCTCGCGTCTGCATCCCAGTCGGTTCAACAATCTTCCTCTCGTATCGCATTCAAAATTTATAGGCGCAATAAATCGAGTATAAATTGCCTCGGCACCCCATCTCCTTCACAAAAGAACAGGAATGAACCCGGGGGAACTGACCCGAAGGGCGTGTACGCAGAGAGGGCGTAAAGGGCGTAAAGGACGGCTGGGACGACGAGGAGGGAATGCCATGCGGGCGACACGAGGACGGGCCACCGAGACGGAGAGAGCAGGGTCCTCACTCCCCGGCTCAGCCGGGTCAGGAGGTCGTGGACGACGTAGAGGCACGCCAGGCACAGTCCCGCCTTGGTCGTCCACGTCCCGGTCCCGGTCCTTGTCCCGGTCTCGGTCCCTTCTTTCTTCGCCTCCGTCATCTCGGGTCAAGTACGGACAAATTTTTCACTTCCGGCAGAGGGAGGAGAGAACCGAATGTGGGTTTCCTGGCTCCCTTTATTCTACCTTCGAGGAACCGATCGACAACATTCCATTCCACGATAAAAACGAATAACTTTATTCATCTTTAAATAATGCCATTCTTCGAGGGCCTTCGTACACTGGAAAAGATTTCAAGGCACATTTTTGTGTAAGAAAAGATCAAAAGAATACGTGACTTCCCCGAAAAAAATTTTCGACGCGAAAACACAACCAACCGCGTTTCCTTCGAGCACCCACCCCCACATCTATCGGGTGTAAACTACGTGCAACTTATAATCTGGGTGCTATAATGGCAGTAAACAACCGGTGCAATCCCCTGCACATCAACGAAATATCCTATTCGACACTCTTTCATCTCAAAAGAAGCCAGAACCAATCCCTTTTCCAGGACGACTAGTTCCTCCCAAACGATCTCGAAATAAAAATCTCCACCGGCATACAAAGGCCCCCCCCTCCCCTCCCCCCCCTCAAAGAATCCCAAGATGCCTCCGGAACCACTCGACCATGAAGTCGGTGAAGAGCAGCCCCGCCTCCTCCTTCTCCCCCTTCCCCCCGCACTTGCCCCTCCCGCACTGGGGGCATCTCCCCCTCTCGCAGGGGGTCATGGCCGGCAGCGTCGGTCGGGGCCAGTCCCCGCACAGCTCGTCCGAGACGATCTGACCGCTCGTCACGCAGTCCACGAACGTGTATCTCATGCCTGCGGGATGGCATCAGACGGCAGAGGATCGTGCAAAAAAGAAGGAAATCCCAGGATTTTAATTATATTTATCATATTATTACGTAAGTTCATCATTTCTAGTCCCCGAAGCATGAACGAATGAGAATATAATTATTAAAAAAAGAATGAGAATCCAGACTTTTCGCCTCGGGATGCACTCTTTGATGATGTCACACCCGACACGGTCGCCAAACGGCCTTGCAGCAACCACATAGCGAATCGCACTAATTCCAGGTTTTCGTTTCATTCTCGAGAATCGAGATGATTAATCGATAGGAACTCATGAGAGACGTGAGAACCGACTTCAATCTCAGGTTTCATTTAACCGCGTCCGACCTTTTCCTAAATGTTGCAGCCTTTACCGGACGCTCCCTCGTTCGCAACGTCGTTAAATACATTTACCACGCGAAATATGATAATTGGGAGAAATATAATAATTGTGGGCTTACCGGCGCCGCACGAGACGGAGCAGGAAGTGTTCAAAACTCTCCAGTAGTAGAAGGCGCTCTCCACGGGCTTCGGTGGGTCCGTGTCGACCGGGTCGACCGTGTCGTTGGTCCTCGCTGGGGGGTGAGGGGGAAGGGCCAGCAGGTCCACTTCCACCGGGTGGGCCAGGTCCAACGCCTCGTTCTCTGCGCGAGGGAATTCCGACATTCGTTCTTTCGTGAGCTTGGTCGGAGGGGGGGGGGGGAAGGGGAAAATGTCCGCGAAGCGAGTAAGCTTTTGGCATCTGTGGCATCTAATTCAGCTTTTTTTTTCTATTGTCCGGGTGTCGCCGGATTTCGCGGTGAAATGACTCCGAGAGATCTTCTTAAACGGCGGGCGATAACAAGATGCGATGACAGCGTGGACATCACCTGGCTCTCCGACGAATGGCTGCACGTGAAAGCCGTGTGAAAGCCGTGTGAAAGCCGCGAAAATAAAACTCTCTGGGAGCACGGAAGAGGAAACCGAGGGAGATGACGAAGCGAATCTCGATAATCATGTTTGAACAAGCCAAGAGGACGAAACCTCCACTTGATGAGGACCGTGAGGCTCGCATGATGAGGACCGTGAGGCTCACCTGATGAGGACTGCGAGTCCGACGAGGACTGTCGCTTGAATCGTCGCCGGGTGCGATGGTATTCGTCCGGATCGTACGAATCCCGCCAGTTCCGCCGTCGCTGGTCGTAGCCGTACTCCTCGCGGCTCCCGGAGTACCGATCGAAGTACCGGTTCTGCTGGTACTTGGGATAAGACGCTGACGGGAACGGCTTCCGATAGAGGTGCGAGTCGCGACGGGACCCGGCGACGTACGGCGCCCGCCGCCGCGGCGAGTCGCGCTCGAACCGGTTCGCCGTGACCTCGATCACCTCGTCCGGATCCCTTCCGGAGGCCGGATCCCTCCCCGAGGCCGGATCCCTCACCACCGCCGTATCATCCCCTTCCCCGAATTCCTTCAAAAGAGTCTCAATGGAACCCTCCCTTCAAAACGGAAAGCGAGAATTCCGAATCCCCCTACCAGGCAGAGCCCCTGCACGCAATACGACGGCCTCTGTGCGTTCATCTGCACCTTGCACGGCGTCCCATCCGGGAAGAGACCATCTCTCCCTCTCGCTCGGTAGAAGCGGTATTCCACTCGCTTGTCCTGGCACGCGATCCGGCAGCCCCGGTCGGGGTCGTCTGCGGAAACCCAAATTCACCGATTCGATTTTAAATCCGATTTAAATTTTAAAGAGCTCGTTTTCCGATTTATTTCACATTTTCGGCATTTTAATAGGAAAAAAAATATAAATATTTATAGAAAAATTAAGTAAATCGACAGAAATCAAAGACTAAATAAAAAACCAGACCAGTGGTTCCAGGGAGCTGGAGTCCGACCCCCGACAAGATCCCAACCGCGTCCCGATGGTAATTGCAGAACGTGTTGGCGTACTCGTAAGGAGACTCCTGGCTCCGGCACTCCTAGGTTAACCGCAAGGAAAGGGGCACTTAGGGATTTCATCGGGTTTCTTACGAGGAGCTCGCGGTGAGACGAACAGCATAATCAATTTTAATGAGGATGCATATGAAAACTTATGCATGAAAATTTAAATTTAAATTTGCATGCACATTTATATAATCATTTATATGAAAATTAAGATTAAAATTTACATGTAAATCTATATGAAAATTAATATGAAAATTTGAGACCTGGGTGTCGGTGAAGCAGAGTTGAAAGGAGTGCTCGGGCCCCCGTGTGACATCTCGGACGCCGACGGCGTTGAGGACGCACGACCGGCGGCAGGGCCCGGCCGGGACCCAGGCGTGGTTCAGCTGCGCCCCCAGCTTGGGTCCACCGGCCCCGGGGCACTCCCAGGGGCCCATCTGGTAGGTGGGGTCTGTGCACGACACCTCCTGCGGGAGGGGGGAAATAAAAATATTTATATTTATTTTATACTTTTTCTTAGAATTAAAATATAAGAGAAAAGGCTCTCTCGGGCTCGCGAGATGAAGAAAGTGGCCGAGGAAAGTGAGTGATTGGGAGGAATGAGGAAAACTTCGAAAGTCCTTTCGAGACTTCAACCCCACCCGCCCCTTAGTTCAAATAGCCCCATAGTTCTCTTCCCAAAACTTCACTTTTTTTTCCTGAAAAGAGATATGGGTCAAGGACTGACTTTGAATTTAATTTAGTGGGTGAGAGCTACTCCTGAATCATGGTTTGCTACTGGAACTAAAAAAACTGATAGAGCAATGGAAGCAAAATGGGGGCGGGGGGGAATAGGAGTACAAGCCGAAACTTCAGTTTTATATGTGAAACTTTTCACACACCCCCCCCCCCTACCCCTCCCACTCACATACTTCTTGTTTCATGATATCTTGCTTCATTTTGGGGGGTGTCCAGACGCCCAGGACACCCCCTCCCTGGCTACATCCCTGCCAAAGGGTGCAAATCCGACGAACTCAAGTCGATGTAATGGATAATTATTCTCACATTTATGCATTATTACATATATAATATAAATATTGCGACGAAGATGAAGAAAAAACTCGCCTGGCACTTCCCGCCGAGGCAGATGCCATACGGACTCCCCAGGGCCCCCGTCGCCCTCCCCTCCGTCGCCTGGACCTCCGCCTCCTGCGGCTCCAGGCACAGCGTCCCGTCCGGGAAGGTCCACCCCCGGTTCGTGTAACCCCCGCTGGCGCGGTGGCACCACACGGCGCAGGCCAGGTCCCCTGTCCCCACAAGAAGACCAAAATTTTGTTCTTTAAAGCAAAGTTTAAAATAAATAGCAAAAAAAAATATGAAATTGACTTGAAACACGGCGCAACGTGTAAATCGACAGAAATCAAAGACTAAAAAAAAAAACAAAAGACAAAGTGGCTTAATAACTTTACAATGGTGACGATATATAAATATAAGACAATAACTTAATGTTAATTTATAATATAATTTATAGTTGATACGGCAATTTAATTTTTAAAATGGTCAATTAATTTCCGATCCTCATCACTCACGGTCGGATCCGGACCGCTGCAGCCCCGTCCCGATGAGATCCGGGTCGAACCGGGCCTCCTCGCGGCACAGCCGATTAGCGTAATCCTGGACGGTGATCCGGTCCCGGTCGACGGACGACCGGTGGCACACGTCCTCGGGGTCGCACGTCGCGTATCGCTTGTTCAGGCCCAAGCACTCTCGGCCGCCGAATTCGGGACTGGGAAGGGAGGAAAATTGCAGTGTGGACAATATTAAAATATATACATATATTTTTACGGATATATAAATATTTTTTATCTTTTAAAATATTTTAATAGTGTTTTAGAATGTTTTCCAATTCTTTTAATGATTTATTTTGAATGTGAAATTGCGGAATGCTTTTAAAACGCATCTGAAGATTCAGAATAGAGAATGAGAATTTCGTTGATCACCGTTGTTCTGGAGGGAAACTGCCAACATTATCATAAGCGTCCGAGTTCATTCGTGGACGTGCCGCCTTCCACGACTTGAGACCAGGCGGAAGACCGCGGAAGGCGGCACCAGGACGCAACACATCAAAACGCGCGAAAATAAAATCCCGCACCAAAAACGGGAAACGTACTAGGGCTGGGAGCAGTGCCTCGCCGAGAGTCGGACCCCGACGGACCCCGTCAGCAGGACCCCATCCAGCCCGTAGAGGCACTCCGCCGTGCAGTCCGAGAAGGCCCCCCAGGGGCTCCACCCGCCGTCTCGGGGGATCCGCGAGCCGGTCGTGCCCATCTTCGTCACGCAGTGACCCCGCCGGCACCACTGTCGGCACAAGACGCGCCCGGTCAGGTCGCACGATTCTCTCATCATGGCCTTCATATTTCCCTCTCCCAGTTATTTTCATTTTCCTCTTTAACATTTTTTCTACTCAACCTTTATTTATTATTATTTTTTAAAATACTACTATTCTTTTTTCTTTCGAAATCAAATATAACTCTTATCTTTGCATTCATATTGAGATCATTTGTTGGGATGTCGGAACTCGATAGCTGGACGCACACGACCGGACCGCCGACTCACCCGATCGCGTCCGCATTCGGAGCCCTCCAACGCGGGATGCGACGTCCAGGTGTAGAACTCGTTCTGGCAGTGGAGGTCCCTGCAGATTTCCTCCTGGCTCTGGGCCTCGGAGTGGCGGCTGGAGCGGCCGTATTTCAGCATGCCTGGAGGGGGAGGGTGGAGGTGAAGGGGGTGGAGGGGGGTGGAGGGAGGGAGGAGGGCTTACATTGTTGGTCCCGGTCGAATTTCTCTCCCGGGAGGAGTCCCAGGGACGCGTGGTCGAGATTCCAGGTCGGGAGGCCGGCGTCTCTCAGGCAGTCAGACTGTGAGGTCCTGCTCGCATACGGATCATCAACGGATCATCAACGTATACATGCAATTGGGGTCGAAGGGGGGAAAGGGGGGGAGGGGCATTCACGTTTTTCTCCGTTTTCCTGTTGTACGGTAACTGCTCTTCCCTCTCACGCGATCGGATCGGGCGGATGTCAAGGTTGGACGTATTATCTGTGATGGGTTGTCGATGGGGTTCTGCACTTCCCACGCGCAAATGTGCATTTTAAATATGCGTGCAAAAAAATGAAGCGGAACTGATCGTATTTTCACATGTTTTTTATCCGTATTTTTTTTCCCTCAATAAAAAACGCATTTTATGTAGAGGAACGATTAAAGCTTTCATTTGGAAAAACGACGCGCCTTCTCGAATTCCACCTCGTCTTTCTATCTTTATTTTTATACTACTATAATTTTCATCGCCTTCCATTATTCCCCTCCGTCCCCAATTAATTTCTTTCCCACATTCTTACGCAATGGGAAAACCGAGAACGATTCGAGAACCGCGCGCAACCACCGACAAAAACCGCAAAAAAAGGCGAACTCACTCGAGGAAATCCGTGAGATATCGCTGCGAGCACGGCGACCAGGTGATCTTGCCCGAGCCGAGGGTCGGCGACATGATGAACGTCCCCGGGTCGCACGAGTTGCCCCCCGGCGCTCCGTCGTGCTTCATCCCCAGGCTGCGAATAACCGTCATTCTTCGTCATTCCTCATCATTCCTCGGGCGTTGCTCAGCATGATAGCGGATTTTAAAAATTAGATTGTTTAAGTGCAACAAATTTGAATTTCAAAATTCATCGAGAGCACGTGGTCTGGATTAGCAACACTGTTGACCCTTTCAGTCCTGAACTTTAAAATATAAATTATGGAAAAAAAATTTTCTTTATTCAACTGTCCACAAATCACAAAAATGCAAATTCCAGCTGAGGTCGCAAAGAAAAGCAACAATTGGATTTCCTCCCGTTTCACTCGTTCCCCGCCAGATGTCTCTCGCACGGAAACAGTAATTTCCTGCATATTTCGCGCTCATTATAGCGGGACTCGCGGCCAGGAAGTTCACCCATCTCCATCTCCACCCGAAGCCCGTTTTCCCTAATTGAAAGCCATGAGATCCTCGAGAAAACGCAGCCGAACCGAGGCCAGAAAGATTCCAAGGACACGGCGCATTCACCCGATATATCACGAGTCACGCTCTACTCCTTCCCTCCCAACCGGACCGAAGAAAGCCTCCAATTCAATGCTTCTTCTCTCCCTTGAAAGCGAGTGGATGACACTCGCTTCTTCCACCTTGAAATCTATTCATCCCGACGGGAACTAACGATGACGATGTCATCCACCTCATCGCGATCTGATGGACCGTAAGCATTTGTTTCGACCCCCCCCCTCCTCCTCCCCCTCTCACGAACCCGGTTCTGCTTTGTTTTCTTACGTTTCCGTGTCGGACGAGGAGAGCATATCCGGCCGATGCCCCCAGTAAATAAAAGGGTAGGAAAGAAACGAGGCTATTGGTACCCGGACTTCGCATCTCTGGTATTCCTGCTTCGTTTTTTAATAATTAATTATTATTATATTAAATTAGTTCTAGTGATCATTGAAGTTCTAATCCTTCCCCCCCCCCCCCAAAAAAAAAGGACTAACCTAATATCTTGCACTTCCATAACCTCTCCGCTAGAAGATGATTCTGTTTTCAAATGCTATGTTCAATAATCAGTTTCAGCCAAGTCTCTCTTTTACACCAAAAAGCCATTTGCACTAGCTTACTAATTTAACTACTGCTTAGCTAAAGGAATATTGGAATATTAAGGAATCTCTCTTCGAAGAGCCGCAAAAACACTTTAAACGTGTCGGTTTAAAAACCCGGCGACTTCAACGCCCCGCCCCGCCCCGCCCTTGGACCCCAACAGCACCGAACCACGGAAAGGAAGACGAAATGGCCTTCACGGCCCGGCCAAGGGCAAGGACTCATTCACTCGGAACCCCGGAATGACCCTTCCGAGAAATTATTTCCCCCCCGAGATTGAAAACGGAATCGTATCGATCGCGCGTGAAAAATATCGCGAAGAAAGTCATTATCGAGTCCGAAAAACCGTGAAATTCACCCTCACAGGGCCCAGCACCTCATTTCTCACTAGGTCCCCATCCGAATGAGAGCAGAACACTCGGGTCCCCCCTCGAGTCCCCCCTCCCTGGTCCCCCCTCCAATCAGGAAGTCGGAAACTCTTTTTTCCCCTCTCTCTTTCCTTTTTTATATTGTACCGAAAGAGGAAATGCAGTGAAAGTGCGAATCACCGTCTACACGGCCCGTCACCATTTGTCACCATTTGTCACCGTCACCTGAACCAGAAACTCCCTCGATCCTCTTCCTTGCTTCCTTTCTTCTCTCGCCCCATTTACTGTACTCTTTAACGTCTGACTGCGTCTCTCGCGAAAAAGTATTTAGCTCACGTCCCAGTTATTTCCCCACATTAAATCTGTCTCTGTTGCTGAACTCGAATGATAAAAAAAAACATTCATAGTTTAAATTAAAATTTAAAATACTTTTAAATAAAAATTTTAAAAATTAATTAAAAAGAAATATAATATCTAAATATCGCGACCTGTGTCCGATCTCGTGCGCGACGACGTAGACGGTCTCAAAGTGCCTGCCCTCGTTGACGGTACAGGAGGCGGTCGGGTTGCACATGCCGCCGACGGGGGCGAGGCCCACGACCTGGCTGTTGAGCTTGCCCCGCTTGTCCACGGTGAAGAGGTCGAGGCCCGTGAGGAGGAGGGCGTGGTCCCAGTGCAGGGGATCGGGGTCGCCGCCGGGGTTCTCCTTCGCCTGCCACTCGCAGAAGCGGGTGAGGAAGGTGTCGATGTCGAAGGGCCAGAGGAGGCCGAGGGGGTCGGAGGCCGGGGTCTGAAGCTCCAGGCGCTTCAGCACGACGTCCACGGGGTAGCCGAGGCTCTCGTCGTTGTACAGCAGATGGACCTGTGTTTGAGGGGGGGCGGGGCGGGGCGAGGAGAAAATGGGTGGTTACGGATGTCGTGAATTCGGGGACGTCACGAGTGAATGGACTCTTACGGCGTTCATCATGGCCATGACCACGTTGATGGTGTTCTCTTCCGTGTCGGTGGGGAAGTTGGTCTTCATGTGGTCGAAGAGGTATCGGTCCACGAACACGGCCAGTTCCATGTATAGCCGCGTTCCCACCGGGGGGGCGCGGCGTTTCTCCCGGCGCCGCCCGCGGATGGGTTCGAGGGACTCGTAGGATTCGTCGAGGAAGGCGTAGGGGTCGCTGGGGCCTTGCTTGGTGCGGTAGATCACGTGGTCGCCGAGGGGGATGTCGGAGAGGGAGTCGTACACGCTGCTGGTTTTGGCCAGGGGCTGGATCACCAAGTCTTCCGACTCGTCCTTTATCACGCCCATCTGGAATTTTGTCCATTAGGGGATTGTAGTTGGGAATCGGGGGCGGGGGGGGGGGGGGGGTTTAAAGGTGGGAGAACATTCGGTTTTATCGGTTTCTTCCCATACTCTCATTCGGAGAAACCGATAAAAGTAATTTTGACGCGCCATTAGTTCGTCGCTTCGCGTTTCCGGTTCGTCTGCTGTTAAGCAAGACGACCAATGATTCTTAAGCAGGTCGACACCCGAACAAGGCCGACACCCACGTCGCAATCTTGCAAACAGACGACACCCTTGCGGTCGCCTACTCTACTAGTAATCGAGAGCAGGGGTGAATAAGCCCCCATGCACACGCCGCCGCTGTCTCGGCAGTTGCGCTTTGGCGACAAGTTGCCCGAAAATAGATGAAACTGCAACTACTTCCCAGATCCGCCGGATCATTTGTCACGACTCAACCCAAATTTTCGCTCTCATTTCTGTCCATTTTTTTTCTTCAAATGAGAGCAAGCGAAAAAATGCGGCGGAAGGGTCATGCATGCGCTGGAAGGACCATCCAGCCACCGGAAGGACCATCCAGCCACCGGAAGGGCCATCCAGGCGCCGATAACGAGCCGATTGCGATGCGGCCCGAGGAATCCTCACGATCACCTACCGTGAGGAACCCCCGAGAGCATCCGAGGCCTTCGGTTCCCATCTGCACCCTCACGGGAACAGTTCACAAAGTAGGCTCCATTATTTTCAAGGCAGGCTCCATTATTTTAAGGGCGGCCTCCACCTCCCGTGACTTGCAATTCCGAACAATGCGGGATTTCCCATTCATTTTGGCTCACGGGGGAAAAAAATTCCTGCCTTCCCGTGTCGCTTTGCCGAGAAATTCCGAAAAATTAGCTCTAATTTTCTAAATATAATATAAATAAATAAATATTTAGTAAAGTAAAAAATTACGAAGCATTGTAATTGCCGAAGGCGATCGCGGAGCTCGCACCCTTCCACGCGCCCCCGTCACGGGTTCGCATGAGTTATTGCAGGAGGGCGCCCCATGTCATGATGCCATGATGCCATGATGTCATGATGTCATGGGTCCCATGAGTTATTGCAGAGGGTCGCGCCCCGCCTTCCTCTGTCTGCGGGGAGGGTGTGCACCCAAAAAAATTCCATTCGGTCGCTCAAGATTTCGTAATTCCAGAGACAAAAAGAAATTATAATTACATATATAATTATATCATATATATATATATAAATTCGTTGCGGTTCATTTCCTTTGTCGTTACCACAGAGGTATTGCACGAATACTCCCCACCGCGCGAACAGAGATTCTCCGTTACGCTAAACGGTTTGCTGGTTACAATTGAGAACAATGCAATCCATTGCGTCTTCGTCGTATTTCTTTCGGTCGTAAAAATTCTGGCGCAATGCTACGCGAAATAAAAAAGGAATTTAATTGTCTTACGACAAAATTTTTTTTTTACGCGGCGAATCAAGAGACTTCCATTCGAAGTAAAAATAAAGTCGTTTCGCGGCGGGAAATCTGCGAAAATCGCGAAAGGAACTGTTCCCCATTGTTCCCCTCCAGGAGCGAGGCGATCCGGACTCCTCAACGCCCGGACTCCTCAACACCCGGACTCCTCAACGCCCGGACTCCTCAACCCCGCCGAGAAAGGTGAGAAAGTGATCCGGAAACGGGTTCTTTCACTTTCGTGCGTCGCGCCTCGTTTCCTCCCCCGGCATGAATGGGGCGACGATCTCATCTCGTTAACGATGAGAAAATCCGGTCGTCAGACGTCCGCACGCCGATTACGGCATCGGCGCTATCGGCGCTATCGGCGATATTAAACTCGACGACCCGAGTCTGGATCTATACGGAAACGAGCGGACGGTCGCGAGGATTCATTAACTCATTCCTGCGTCGGTTCGACTACTTTAATAACTTAATTAAATGATTTAATTTAATTACTTAACGGTCGTACCATTCCGTGGCAGAGGGAGACGGCGATGCCGTTGCCCGGATAGAAGTCCTCCGACGGAGTCCCGTGAAAGACGCAGTCCTTCACGTGGTCCACGATGTCCGCCGTGCCGTTGCCGCGGCGGACGGTCGCGACGAAGTGCGGCGAGAACAGCGCCGCGTTCCGGCGCAGCGTGAAGTTGAAGCTCTTGCCCATCGCCTGGAAGGAGAGCTCCATCTCGTCCTCGCCGCGTTCCGCGCCCTCGCCGTGCTCCGTGCCCTCACCGTGCCAGCCGGGACTCCGGCGGTGCCTCTCGCGGCCGCCGGGGTGTATCCGGTGCAGGACCGGGCGGAAGATCTCGTATGATGGGTCTGGCAACGTTTTAAAATTCCAATTACTTATTTTTAATTTAATTTATTTTTCGAAATGTTTTTATTTATATTTTATTTACATTTATTTATTATTTGTTTTTCATTATTTCGGAAGTTCTGGCAAAATTGTTTATTAGTAAAAAAAAAAGTACATATAAAGGTTGATTATAAAGAAGGTTCCCTCGTTCAACACATGAGATCTCATAAATGGCTAAACACAGGATTGCGAAAATCAAAAACGAATGCCACAGGGGCCACGGGGAAGACAATATTGTACTTCGTCAACAAAAGTGCGCAAATGGCCCACTTAAGAAAATCCGTTGCGTTCAATGTGTGCTCTTCCATTATCCACTTTGCATTGCATCTGTGGGATGACAGACACGACAGCATGACAATGGCATCTTTAAGGTCTGGAATGGTGCATGGGGTCCTTCGGTACACGCAAGACTTCCACGACCAGGAGTCCATGTAAGGTCCGGGGAACGAGCTAACGTTTGTCATTCCCACCGTGCAGCATCGAAATGTGCTGGGTACCAGTCTTTCATGCAGGATGGCACTGCTCCTCATAATGGCACCGTGTCAGGCGCGTGTTGCGGGAGCACTTTCAGGATCGCATCATTTCTCTACGCTTTTCTCACGAATGGCCTCTGCGTTCACCGGGCCTCACGCCGGCAGACTTTTGGTCATGGGAGTTACTGAAGTCTTGCATGTACCGAGGGACCCCGTGCACCTTAGAGGTGTCATCGAAGGATGGTGGCAACACATGACACGTGCATCATTGTCGTCCCCATGGCCTCTGTAGCATTCGTATTAATGTTCACATTCCTGTGTCTAACCGTTTATGAGATCCAATGTGAACAAGGGAACTTTCTTTATAATCACCCTCTATAATCTTATTTTTAAAATGATTTTGAAAGGTCTTGCAACACATAATTTTTTTCTGCTATAAAAGGTCTGCGACCACAAAAAAAAATGATTGGAAAGGTCTCGTTCAACAGGTGTGGGGGCATTAAAGGATCGTTTCCCCTCGAAAACGCGATCGTAAATTCCCTCCGACGTCGTTTGGACTCGCTCAGGCGGGGATGAACTTTCTCGGGGAAAATCGACTGGAAAGTTAATGGATCGGTAATGGGCCTGTAATGGATCTATCGGTTCCGCGCGAAACGCCTCCGAAATGGAATCGGGGTCTCACCCGTCACCCCCGGCTGAAGGACCGGACTCGCTCCCTCCACCTGCAAAAAAAAAGGTGCAAAATTGCCAAAAAAATATTTGCAAAAGAAATTATGAAGCAAAATTGCCAAAGAAAATTATGAAGCGAGACTGCATAAAAGTAGAATGAATCCGAATTGCACGGATATGAATCTTCCGAAAGAATGAATGGAGTTGAATGGCCGGGGCGACCCGACCCGCCCAATACCGGATACACCGGATGCATCCGAGTAAATCACGGACTCGATCGAAGGCGGTTCGATAGCCGGCTCCGGTTCGGGGCGACTAACCGGTTCGGTCGCCGTCCTTGTCGGGCTGGTCAAGTCCAAGTCCAAGGTCAAGGTCCAAGGACCTCGCGAGACCGGAACAAAATCCCCCGCATGTCTGTCTTTCACGGTTTCTGCCTCGGTGAGCGGGAGGATTGGTCAATTCGGTGTCGCAAGGTCGCATGAAGGGGTCTCATTCATTTTTATTATTATTGTTTTCCTTGGGGGGGGGAGGGGAAGGGGAAGGGGAAGGGGAAGGGGAAGGGGAAGGGGAAGGGGAAGGGGGAGAGGGAGGAGGGAGGGGGGAGGGAGGGGTGCCGTTATTTCAGGGGAAACATGAGTCGACCGATGTTTGTCTACGTGTTACATGTTAAAGATGCAACCAGAGTGAAAGGTACTTCCAAACGTTAAAAAACGTACCTGTCGAATAACTTTTCCTCATTTAAAGAGCTACATCAATCGTTGGGATTTTTGAAATTGCTGAGGCACTTGCTGGTAACTTCTTAAATTACCAAATATGCTATGGCTAATTTCTTCATTGTTTCGCCCGTTGCTCGAGACTCGACATAAATAAAACCAGCCTGGCTCTAGTCCTTCATGTCCTTTACGTCCAACCGAAATGTCCTTTACACCGTTTCAATAAATAAAAAAGTCGATGTCGACTTACCTTTTTCTTGACTCGTTAAAAAAAAATTCGACAACATTTAACGGGGAAAAAAAAAAATCGGTACCTATCCAAGACATTTGTGAGGACATTTGAGGACCTTTTTGAGGACATTTGAGGACTTTTGAACTCTCGGACCGCCCCTCCCATACTTCCGCTCGATTCAGCGCGATTCCGCAACACTGAACCTCGATGCCACATGGGAGATAAGACCCGCAATCGGGACCGTGAATCGGGACCAACGCCCCAGGTCCGTTCATTTTTTTATTATTCTAATATCCCAACGTACCGAGTACCGTATTATTCCCACTGGAAACGCAAAAAAAGGACCGGATCCGGTCATGATTTTCATGATTCTCAGCCACGACCTTGCCAACCGTGCAATCACGACATTTTTTCAAATAATTTTTTTGTTGTTCGGAAGGACAGGAACTATAGACGCTCACCAAAAAGAAAGGAATCCCCTTTGAGTCCCCTAACGGAACAGTTCCACCCTGATTGTCCCCTTACGGCCCCTCACGGACCCCTCACGGCCACCGCGCGTCCAAGACAATCGAGATATGTGAAGGTCCTCGCCCCGCGATTCTCCTCCACCCCCTCTCCCTTCCCCCCCTTCCCCTCCCCCCTCATTTCCATATCGCTGCGCTTCGCCGTGCGTGGAGGAGAGAGAATACCAGCTTCCTGGAGGATTTCTTTACCCAAGGGTGGGAAATTACCCAATGGTAAAAAAAAATAATATCCTTTTGTTACATGTAGTATCGGATTCATTCTACTTTTATGCAGTCTCGCTTCATAATTTTCTTTGGCAATTTTGCTTCATAATTTCTTTTGCAAATATTTTTTTGGCAATTTTGCACCTTTTTTTTTGCAGGTGGAGGGAGCGAGGAGGATGAAGGAAATTCTGAAAGACCTTTTGTCTTTTTCTTCTCATTTAAGGGATGCTCTCGTTTTAAATTTTATTATTGTCTCTGACCGGAAGTGGGAGGATCGGTTTCAGCTTTGGATGGATGGACGAATCCATCGATTCTCGGAAACCTAGCATTCAACGATGAGTTACGGCGAAGAGCGCTCATCGGTCGAGGTGATCATTCGCTCTTCGAAAAATTCTCCGAAACTACGGAAAGTTGTTGGACGAGATTTCCCACAGACAGTTCCAACTAAATATGGGAAAATTAGAATTTCGTTAAAAATGCTGAATCGCGAAGCCAGAGTAAATATAAGCGAGCCTTCTAGTGCGAAGGTCCTCATGGCATCAGCGGCTGGATTCGTGGCCGTCGCCGCCCCCACTCCCCCTCCCTCCTCCCCTTTTAGGCTTGGTGGATTCTCACTTTGTTCCGTCGCCTGTTTCGAGAAATCCAACCCCTTTCGGGCCGAACCGAACTCTACAACCTGCAATCTCTCGAACGCACCATTTCCCATCGAAGAGAAGCGGATGCGGTTCATCGCCGGGATGTTACGTGAGCATGTAACACCTAACCATGACCATAATCCGGGTTATTTAGACCGTAATCCTTCGTCCCATCTCGCGAGATGATTGGCACCGACTAACGGTGACCCCACTTCCCATGCACTCGGTGCAGTGGATCGGTGCAGTGGATCGGTACAGGGGATCGGTACAGAGGATCGGTACAGGGGATCCTGCACGATCCGCATCCACCGCTCTTCCGGCTCCTCCACGTGCGTTATCGCATCACAATGGTTATGAAACAGCTGATGAAGGACACGGAAGCAGATGAAACGACGCCCTTTGTCATTCCCGCCGCGTGAATTATGAATATTCTGCCATTTCGCAATTTTGCACTTTTTCCAGTTTTGCGATAGATGTCCCACTTCAACACATGCTTTCCCTTCACTTCCCGTTCCCCGGCGCACAATGAAGCAATTACACGAGGCGGGAGCTAATGAGGAGTCTCTCTCACGAGAAATCCCTCACAGGAGAGGCCCCTCTCACATGTGCAGCGACGACTCTCCCTTTTCCTGCTGTTTCGCCTTTTCGCTTTCCGTTTGGCGCGCGGCTCTTCAAGAAATTTGCACTGGAGTTTCATTTTATTTATTATTATTATTTGTTAAAATTTTTTATCATTACAACGGTTTGGATAGTCTCTTGAGTGCAACTCAGCGCAATTTCAAGGCTCATGGGACCGAGAGAAAAATTAGTATTAACATTTAAATTTTCATCGGTATTTAAATGCCTATTATACTTTGTGCCTAGCCATTTTTAAATTTAAATTTAAATTTAAATTCAAATTTAAACATTTAGTTCATAAAAATGAACATATTTCTTTTTCTCGATTGAAATGAAACATGCTAAAGTCCGAACTTGCGAGGAAAAGTCAAGTTGGAACACTTCGAGTTCGGATGCACCAGAAGTAGCATGTGCCTACCGTGCGGCAGTACTTCAAATTCCCCAAGTACCCTGTGGGACTGAGCGCAGAAATCGACGGAATCTCGCGTGAAGCATTTCTCGAGGGAGGTCGTCTGCCTACGATTTCTCCAGTTTCTTCTCCAGTTAAATAGCGTTAAGTAAATAGCATTAAGTAAATCGTTGGAAATCGTGGAAGACGACGATGGCCAGGGCACGCTTTTCGTTTGCGGGATTCGAGTTTTAAGAAAACGGCAAAAATCGATGGTGCTCATCTGAAGTAAATCCGAAATAAAGAAATTTGCATTGCTTATATATATTTAAATATGGTGAGACTTACCTTGTTCTCGGGACGGACGAGACGGGAGGAGGAAAAGAGGAGGAAGACCGCGCTCCATAACTTCATATTGTCACTGCATTTTGAATGCGGAAGAAGTGCGAATCGGCTGCTGCAGTTGCGACGATGTCACCCCGTCCCCGTCTCAGGGTGGCATGCGGAGGGAGAGCGAGGCCCAGGGGTTCCCCGCGTGCGCTCTCACGCGCATTCACGTGCATTCACACACATTCACGTGCATCGGAGGGGAGGCACGGGTGCGGAACCGGAGATCCTCGCTCCAGAAGCCACTGACCAAGTCAATTACCGCTCATCTTTGTTGTTCTTTCTTCCTGCTGAGGGGAGCTTCCTTCGAAATTAAGGGTGGCGAACCGCTGCGGTGCTTCGAGCAGGCTGTCTGTGGGAAACGGGGAACGGACTGCGGGATGAGGCCTCATTCGTGTCGACGGGATGGGGCTGGAAAAGAGTTGAATTTTTGGCAGGGGAACGTGCAGATACATAAAGGGAATATTTAAGTCGTTACTTGAAGATTTTAACGAGATAGTCTCTCGAGGAAATTTATCTCTGACTTCGCATAAAACGAAATGCATCGATTATGCCATGTCGCGATGCGACTCCTACCTTAATTCGCTTGACCTGCGCCATCACATTTTTAAGCAGATAAAATATATCTTGGATGCCGCACTCGATCAGGGATGTCGAGAGTGTATGTTTTTAATTATTTTATATCTTTAACTGACTGGAGAAATATTTGAAATTGATCGTGTGAACACGATGGATTCGCAGTGGCTTCCCATATTTTAGAATTGAATTTTTCTGAGGTCTATTATGGAAAATTTCCCCGTGGGGATATGAAGTCGATTCGAAGTCTCTTTAACCCTTCATATCCGTCCGACGAACAATGTACGACCAGTGGAGCGGTAACTTGCTGCACCTCTCCTGCTAATAATTTTTTAAATATTTGACATCTGACGGTGTCATCTGAAAAGTGGAACTCCAAACTCAAATCCAATAACAATTACAGAAGTTATGGCCGTTCAGGCAAAAAGATGCTTCATAGACATTTAAATTTCAATCTCCTCCGGATTCAGGCTATGTAAATGGATTTAAATCCCACGGTATTGAAGGGTTAAACCCACCAGAGAAAGAGGCGCCAAGGAGGTGCATAGTAGCGCAGTCTAGAGTCGAAAGTCAAAGCTGTTTGGTTTTAATTTCAATCGCTAGATGTCAGGAGAGTAGACAAGAGGTATCCTCTCGAGGTGAAGAGTCTGTCGTCATGAGTGACCGCGGAGCCAGAGGTGCCGCTCTCTCCAGTAAAGTGCGGGACGGAACCAGATCACAAGAACTTTTTCACGAGCACACCTCTAATCACGCTTCCCTCATCCCGCTGTTACTCGTTCCGTGCAGTCTCTAGGATGGCGTCGGTTCGGAAGGTTGTTCTTGTTTAGCGACAGCTTTCACCTTATGGTCCTCGAAGGACTTTTCACATCTTTTTGAGGGATTCGTCGCATTCTAGGAAGATGTATGATCCTGACGATGGTGAGTTTGGGCATATGATAGGCTATGCTAATGGTAGGCCTCGTTTATGAAAAGTTTAACGTTAGAGCCACCCTACTGTAACGATGATGATGATGATTTACTCCCATGAGACGTCCACAGAGACGTTATAAAACAAAAATCAGATTATAATGATGAGTGTACTTGAAGCAGTTAGGCAAACATCTTCGCAAAGAACTAAATAATTATAGTGTGAAGTTCTGAGGTTGATTGAATAGAGAAAGTGGGCCTCGTCACGTTAGGACGTGGAAGAACGTATTTGGGAACGTAACGGGCCTAGCACTGAGTTGCACTCATGACTTAATGATTTATCAATAGATGCACATTTGCTTCAATGTATGCAGAATCACCTAGTTGTAACAATGTGATTCAAGAGAAAGCAAGAGTCTCTAGACATGTAAACTCAATATCCAGGCTGTCATCTTTTAAAATGATTTTTAAAAGAAAGTAATTGATTAAGGGCTGGGGTGGACAAGTAATTTGGGTGCCTTGAGGGGGTAACTACTTTCCCTGGATTTGGATCCTTTTGTCTGATGTGCTTGTATAGTTTTTCATGGGGCTAGTTAGATGACCACATTCCAATCCAACCCAATGCTAGCTGTAATCTGTGAAGCTCATCTAGAAAGATAAATAAAGTTCTGCAAGCTGCCAGGAATATCATGCAATTTGATAGAAGCTTATTTGGAAATGGTTCTCAGTAATAGTCAGGTGCTCTTGTTTAAGAAAGGTTCACTTTCCCAAATTGAGTAGTATTCCTTAGGATTTGAAAAGATGGTTATCAAATCCAAGTGAGTGCACTTTACTCATGAAGGCTATATCTTTCAGAGGAAAGATGATTCCTTAAAAGAGAAGCCTATGGTCTCCAAAACAGGCCACAATCCCATACATTTTTATCTAGTTTTCCAAATAGTATCACAGACAATGCCTGCATGGCAGATATGAAATGTTCAGATACTTGCATATTTTTGCTTAACTGACCATCCCAGAAAAGTGCAAATAAAGGGACAGGGTGTCCCTGAAGAGGTGGTTAAGACTCTAAATGACAACTTTTGGATATTAATCCTAAAAGGAACTTTTCTAACCAAGAAATCTCAGGTTCAGTGTTAATAGCCGGATGCATTGTAGGGGGATCTCCAGGTAGTTTGTAGCAGACAACAGGCAGGTGTCTCATCTCATATTTTTCAGCCACTTTTGAAATGCTTGCAAGTGTTGCAATCTCAGTTAACTTAAACTTTTTCTGTTCAGCAATTATTTTTTTCCACAAACAACTTTCTTTTTTAGTAAATCAGGATTTTTTTTGCTGATCCATTTCTCACTAGGTTGTGGGTAGTTTTATGAAGAGTAAAATAGCATTTGGAGAAGCTCTACAATTGTGTAATTTACACATTTTTCAGGTTTGTTCAATGGACTAAGTACATGCATAAAAAGTTATATGTCAAAATTCAGGGTGAGTAGGAGAACCACATTTACCTTGGCTACAACCCAAAGTGTCACTTGATATGGTGCTTTCTTTATAAGAAGCAGATTTGGATTTTGTGAAGTTTACCTAATTTTTATTCCTGTATTTCATTTTCAGAGGGCTTCAGCTATGATGATGAAGTCTCTGAGGAAATTTCCTCTGAGCTATGGCAAGAAGCATGTTGGATTGTCATCAATGCATATTTTGATGAGAAGGGACTTGTCAGGCAGCAGTTGGACTCTTTTGATGAGTTCATCCAGATGTCCGTCCAGCGGATTGTGGAAGACTCTCCTCAAATTGATCTTCAAGCTGAAGCCCAGCATTCTTCTGGCCAGCTAGAGGAACCAGTAAGGGCTTTGCTACTACTCTACCTTGAATGAAGATTATTATTTATCATAAGGATATTTTCAAGTGCTTATTCTACTCTTTGCTTCTCTACAGCCACGATATCTGCTGAAGTTTGAGCAGATTTACTTGTCCAAGCCTACCCATTGGGAAAAGGATGGAGCACCAAGTCCAATGATGCCAAATGAAGCACGTCTGAGGAATCTGACATACTCAGCTCCACTTTATGTGGACATTACAAAAACTGTGATAAGGGAAGGGGAAGACCCCGTGGAAACGCAGCATCAAAAGACATTTATTGGTGAGTGTGATCTGTATATATCTGTCTTCTATATGCTAAGGCATGATGTTTGGCCCTGTGTAATTTGGAAAATTAAAGTATCCCTACTGTGAGCTGGAAAACAGACAGATTTTCTGGAGAAGGATTGAGGTACTTGGTCATGCCTTGGGCATCACCATTCTTTAGATTGCGAAAATAAAACAATTACATTGTTAGGGCATATTCTGATTGTCCTCTTCCCTAATATATGGGTCAAGTTTATATTTCAGGTTATTCAGTATTGATTTTCATTGGTTTGACATAGTAGTTGGTGTCTTGCAGGAAAAATTCCCATCATGTTGAGGTCAACCTACTGTCTTCTCAATGGCCTAACTGATCGAGATCTGACAGAATTGAATGAGTGTCCTCTGGACCCTGGGGGATATTTCATCATCAACGGATCAGAGAAGGTCTGGCATTTTTCTAGATGCAGAAGAAACTTCTGAAGATTGTTATTTGTTTTCTTGTTCATTGTTTTCTGTCTGTGGGATTTCTGTTTAGGTCTTGATTGCCCAGGAGAAGATGGCCACCAACACTGTTTATGTGTTTGCAATGAAAGATGGGAAATATGCCTACAAGACAGAGATCAGATCGTGCCTAGAACATTCCTCTCGCCCAACCTCCACCCTCTGGGTCAATATGCTTGCTCGTGGTGGACAGGTGGGGAAATTAAATTGAATCCATGGGATGACATTCTGTGTAGATTGTCTTTCTGTAATCTTATTGTGGAAGCCTAGGTATAATTTTCATGTCAGCTTTGGTCATGGTCTATTGCAGAGCATCAAGAAAAGTGCAATTGGTCAGAGGATCATTTCCATCTTGCCATACATCAAGCAGGAGATACCCATTATAATTGTGTTCCGTGCCTTGGGATTTGTGGCTGACAGGGACATCCTGGAGCACATCATTTATGATTTTGATGATCCTGAAATGATGGAAATGGTATGTGCTTTTCCTTAATGCTTACTGTCATGGCATTTATTTGGCATATTAGAAATCTCCTTAAATAATAAAACTCAGGTGAAGCCTTCATTGGATGAGGCTTTTGTGATCCAAGAGCAAAGTGTTGCTCTGAATTTCATTGGAGCCCGAGGTGCTCGGCCTGGAGTTACCAAAGAGAAACGAGTCAAGTATGCCAGGGAAATCCTTCAGAAAGAAATGCTACCGCATGTTGGAGTCTCTGATTTCTGTGAAACCAAGAAAGCTTACTTTTTGGGGTGAGTTCTTGACTCAGTGAAGTACTAGGCAGAATTTTTTATCCTGGATGACTTCTTGGAAAACACTTTTAATTTACTTACTAATTTTCTGTGCAGGTACATGGTGCATCGATTGCTGTTGGCTGCCCTTGGCAGAAGGGAACTCGATGATCGTGATCACTATGGTAATAAGAGATTGGATTTGGCAGGACCTCTTCTTGCATTCCTGTTTCGTGGGTGAGTAACCTTTCACATGTGATCTCTTTACTGTTGCCTGTATGCAATGGAATGATGGAAGTAACTGGTAACATAATTCTGTTATGCTTCATTCTTTCCTGCTTCAGTTAGTGTGAATCCTAGTGAATTCATCCTTTCTCAGGCTGTTCCGGAACTTGTCAAAGGAAGTGCGGATGTATGCCCAGAAGTTCATAGACAAAGGGAAGGACTTCAACCTTGAGCTGGCTATCAAGACCAGAATCATCACAGATGGACTCAGGTACTCCCTGGCTACTGGTAACTGGGGAGATCAAAAGAAGGCTCATCAGGCTCGAGCTGGAGTCTCTCAGGTGGGCTTTCTCAGACAGTCTTTTTTCTGAGTTAAAAAAAACTAAGTCAATTTGGAAAAGTGGGAAGTGGCATACCTTATCACTTCAGGTGCTGAATCGGCTGACATTTGCATCAACACTCAGTCACCTGCGACGTGTGAATTCCCCAATTGGAAGAGATGGAAAGCTTGCCAGGCCTCGACAGTTGCACAACACTCTATGGGGTATGATTTGCCCTGCTGAGACACCTGAAGGAGCTGCTGTTGGTCTGTATTACCTGATTTCTCTCCTTACATATGTGCTTTTTATGTTAGTATTATTGCTCAAACAATGCCTTTGGTTTGTTGATCCACTCATTCAGGGCTGGTGAAAAATCTGGCTCTCATGGCCTACATCTCAGTGGGTTCTCAACCTTCTCCCATCTTGGAATTCTTGGAAGAATGGAGTATGGAGAACTTGGAAGAGATTGCTCCTCAGGCTATTTCAGAGTAAAATTTCTCTACCATTCACCTTAACTGGACTTCAGAAAAGGATAGATGTATTTTCATATATGTGGATTGCCTCCCATAGGGCAACTAAGATCTTTGTGAACGGATGTTGGGTTGGGATCCATCGAGATCCTGAGCAGCTCATGTCCACTCTACGAAAGCTCAGGAGACAGATGGACATCATTGTGTCTGAAGTCTCCATGGTATGATGGTTTAAAGGTCCCAGACCTTCCATTTTTTAAAGGTATTTTTAAATCACTGATTAGAGTTACCTTGTTGCTATTTGTAGGTGAGAGACATCCGTGATCGTGAGATTAGGATCTACACTGATGCAGGGAGAATCTGTCGTCCTCTGCTCATTGTGGAGAACACACACCTCTTGCTCAAAAAGAGACATATTGAAATGCTGAAGGAACGAGAATACAACAACTACAGGTCTCTCCCTCATTTAAAATTGATTTCATATGATTTCTCATAGTTTGCAGTCAGGAATTCACCATCATGATCACCCAATGTCGTGAAGTACCAATACCCATTTGATTGACTCTCAGCTGTCTTTTCTTATAGTTGGCAAGATCTTGTGGCATCAGGAGTGGTGGAATACATTGACACCATGGAGGAAGAGACTGCAATGATTGCCATGTCCCCAGATGATCTGCAGCAGGATCGAGAAGTAGCATATTGTACAACATACACACATTGTGAGATCCACCCAGCCATGATCCTCGGAGTTTGTGCCTCAATCATTCCATTCCCAGATCACAATCAGAGTCCTCGAAACACTTACCAGGCATGTGGCTTCCAAGTGATTGTCTTTTTGTTGCTTGTGCCCAATTGCTATTCAATGTATTGTTAATTTTTTTAGAGTGCTATGGGAAAGCAAGCAATGGGTGTATACATTACGAATTATCATGTTCGCATGGACACATTGGCTCATGTTCTCTACTATCCTCAAAAGCCTCTTGTTACAACTCGCTCCATGGAATATCTACGATTCCGAGAACTTCCTGCAGGAATCAATGCCATTGTTGCAATTGCTTGCTATTCTGGCTACAATCAAGAAGACTCTGTGATCCTCAATGCCTCAGCTATTGATCGAGGCTTCTTCCGGTGAGGCTGCTGTTCCTGTCCTGCAAAATATCACTGTATATTTTGAAATGCATAAGGAATTGTTCCAAATGCCATAGGTCTGTGTTCTTCCGATCTTACCGTGATTCTGAGACGAAGAGGATTGGAGATCAAGAGGAGCAATTTGAAAAGCCATCACGTGACACCTGCCAGGGGATGCGAAATGCCATTTATGATAAGCTGGATGATGATGGGATCATTGCACCTGGGGTCAGAGTGTCTGGGGATGATGTCATCATTGGCAAGACCATCACTCTTCCTGAGAATAATGATGAGGTATATCTAAATTTCCTCCATCAATGGGTGCTTCACAGTCATATGCATAAAGTTGGAGTGTTTATTATTCTTATGAGCCTATATATAATTTTTATGTCTACAATGTCCTTTAGAAATTCTGTACATGACTTAAAATTTGACACAACAAATTTTTTAAGCGTATTGTATTCCCTGCACCGAGCCTATCAGAAGATTTGTACACCTGGCCTGAGTTTTAGAAGTGGTGTGTCCATGTGTAACTTGTGGTTGGTAAATTGATTTTATTCTTTTTGGATGCTGCATTGTAGAAAAGAGCACCATAACATTTGGAGATTTTACTTTAATTTTGGAAAAAAAATAACCAAGAAATGGAAAAACTAACCTAAGCATCTTGAAAGTATGGTTTACCTAATCAACTTATGGAAAATGTATTTAATATTATAGCTTGAAGGGACAACGAAGCGCTTCACGAAACGAGATGCTAGTACATTCTTGCGTCATAGTGAGACTGGTATCGTTGATCAGGTGAGTTCATACTTTGCTTTATTGTCATCTGTCTTTCCCAAGACTTATTGCATGTGTAAGGATGTTGATGCTTTCAATAGGTCATGCTGACCATCAATGCTGAAGGATATAAATTCTGCAAGATCCGAGTGCGATCTGTACGCATCCCTCAAATTGGAGACAAGTTTGCATCTCGTCATGGTCAGAAAGGAACATGTGGGATCACATATCGGCAAGAGGACATGCCTTTCACTTGTGAAGGGCTCTCACCTGATGTTATCATCAATCCGCATGCCATCCCATCTCGAATGACCATTGGTCACTTGATTGAGTGCCTTCAAGGGAAAGTCTCAGCCAACAAAGGGGAGATTGGAGATGCCACTCCCTTTAATGATGCTGTCAATGTGTCCAAGATCTCTCAACTCCTTGCTGAGTATGGCTATCACTTGCGAGGAAATGAAGTGCTCTACAATGGCTTCACTGGACGCAAGATGAACGCCCAGGTGTTCTTGGGGCCTACCTACTACCAGCGTCTCAAGCACATGGTGGACGATAAGATCCATTCTCGAGCGCGAGGTCCTGTTCAGATCCTTGTTCGACAGCCCATGGAAGGTCGAGCCAGGTACAAATGTGTCTTGTTTCATTTAATAGATCCTCCTAGTCATAATCTGAAAAGCTGAATTTAACATGTTATCATCTGAATCCATTAGGGATGGTGGATTGCGATTCGGAGAGATGGAACGAGATTGCCAGATTGCACATGGAGCTGCACAGTTCCTTCGAGAAAGGCTGTTTGAAGTTTCAGATCCATATCGAGTCCATGTCTGTCATTTCTGTGGCTTGATATGCATTGCCAATCTTCGCAACAATACCTTTGAATGCAAGGGTTGTCGAAACAAAACACAGGTTAGTGGAGCATCTTCCTATTTACTGCTTGAAATTTTAAAGTGTTTGTGCAATAGGCTTGTCCTGTTTACTGTTGATTTTAATCTGCTTGGGGTTTTATTTTCTGCCATAGATTTCTCAGGTGCGTCTCCCATATGCCTGCAAGCTGCTGATTCAGGAGCTCATGGCAATGAACATTGCTCCTCGTCTTATGACCACTTGAAGCTGTCCTCTGAGAAGGAGGCATATCATTTTTTGTTCCCTGTGTTGGCTGTTTTAACTGGTACTGTTCAGAAGAGAATAAAAGTTTCTTCCGACATGCAAGCATGTGAGGATGGCAGAGAGCACAGCCTAGAAGGTGCCTGTTAGCATCTTCTCCCAGAAATGGGACTGAGGCCCATATTCACCAGTGTCACATTTGCCAGCATGATGGTTTCTTGTGTTTGTACCAGACATCTAAGATTTATGTTGTGGCTCAGAGATCCCACTGGAGGGAGGAGGAGTGAGTTGGGTGTGAAACCAACCCAGAGAGAATGGCAGATACTTTCTCTCATGGGCTGCTGAAAGTTGCAGTAGCACGAATCTGCCAAGATGTGGGTTGGGATGCCATTCACACAACCCCTCTCAACATCCTCGTTGACCTTTCCAAGAAGTTCACTCTTGAGATTTGCAGAAGGGCCCATCGTTACTCTGATCTCTGTCAGTTGAAGACACTTCTGCTCTTTGCTTGATTTGATGATTGCTTACAAATTTTGGATTTGATGTGTCCAGTTGGAAGGAGAAGTGTGGGATTTGATGACCTTGGGCTGGCATTTCATGATATGGGGATCTCTGTGCCCTCCTTGGAAAATTTTCTCAACCATGTTGACTCATCTCCATTCCCATTTTCTATACCCAAGTGAGTTTCCCAACTGCTCTTGAATCAGAGCTTTCTATTAATTACTTTAAAGACTTGTTTGTTGCATTGCAGGTACCCATTGCCGAAGGAGAGCAATTTGAATTTCCTGAAACCAGGAAGTCAAGAAGTGGTACATCGACCAATTCATGTCCATGAACACCTTCCTCCCATGTACCCAGAGATGGAAGGTATGTTATCATCTCTATCTACAGGAAGGTACCCATAATTCGCTTTTTTTTCCTGTCAGGAGCCTGACCGGTGTTTCTGCTGCTCCAGTTGGTAACCGCAATGACCTTGACTTTTCTACATTTGATGGTGCTGGAATAATTCAATCAGAGCTGGATTTTTTTATGTGGGCATTGGACTGATCCTTAAGTAAAAGCATAAACAATGATGATATCAAATGGGGAAAAGGGCTTATGTGTGAGTGATCACACTTTCCTCTTTTTCTTTTGGCAAGTTGTGTTTGCTGAAATGAGATTTGCTTGTTCATTATCCTTTCATTGTTGGCAAAGCAAATTTTATTGAGTAACTGCACTGAAATTTTAGACCAGTGATGAGCAACCTTTTCTTACTGCGGACTGCAAGTGAACCTTTTAGGTTCACAGCAGGCTGCATCTATTTTTTTCTCCCCCCACTAAATTACAGGTTTTATGCCTTCTGAGTACCAAAATAATTCTAAGCCTGGCTTAGTAAACCAGGTAGTAAAATAGTATATGCTAATGATATGCAAATTACTACTTTTGAATTTTCTTCTCATCTTTTTACCAAGCAAAATACCAAGCAAGGCGCTTGCTCAGAGAGCAGTCATGCACTAACCAAAAAGAAAGTGAAGAGATATTTGCAACTGTGGTGGAAATATAGATTTTATGCTTAATTTCTTGCTTCAGTTTCTCCTGCAGTGGACAATTTAATCCTTGAACACACATGCGCTCTGCTCCGGATGGCAGGTGACAGGGAAAAAAAATTCAGTTGAAGCCCCACGGGCCGCACACTAGGACCTTGTGGGCTGCGGGTTGTTCATCACTGTTTTAGACCAAATATCCAGGAGAAAAGATAGAGACGAAAAAATTTTCAGTTGGAGGAGTCATTGGCTGCTATATTTTTCTCAGTATTGAGCTAATGTATTGTCTCAATGTCTTCAAGCAATGCATTTTCATACACTATGCTACCAAAAGTATTGGAACAAGCCTCCCTTCACCAATAGCAGATTGTCTTAGAGGTCATGTGTATTGTGGTAGTCCAAAGGTATATAAAGGTAATCTGGAATCTGTTAGTGTTTGCTAATATGTCACATGGATTGGAGTACTGGGTCAAATTGCAGGTTCACTGTACCTACAATATGACATCCATCATTCCACGTTCAAACTCCATCAGCTCTGATCCACATGCCTGACACTGACTGTAATAGATTGAAGATTACCTTTCTATACCTTTTGGACAACTGCAATGCACATGACCGTTGGGACAATCTGCTATTGGTGGAGGAAGGCTTGTTCCAATACTTTCGGTAATATAGGGTAACATATAACCAATGCTAATACTGAAACAAGACACAAACAGTTAACCACTATCAGACTGATCAATGTGAATTATTGAGTGCTTCTGGGGGAAGCAAGTTCTATTTTCAGCTTTATCCACTACCTTTTCCTAGAATACAGGAGTGAGAATTTCTCATATGTAAATTTTTCACTTATAAGCTTTCACACTTCTTTCAGTCTTCTCTCACTCCACAATGTCAGAAAAAATGAAAAAGGAAGCCAGGTAGAATATGTCATGAACTGTCATGAGCATGACAGTGCTATACTGTCATAGTGACACCCAGTGGTATATTGCTCCCTCACTGCATTCATTTTCATCTTCACGTTCTTTTCCTTATCTGAATTCCCCATCACATTTTCTTCTGTTGTGTTTGTGTGAGTTGTCCTGGTACATGAAATGGCAGCCCCCACATAATCTCACACAGGGAGTAAGGCTGGACACTTCATGGTGCTTGGGTATCGTTGAAGAGTGAAGCTACTTATTAAACAGTAATATCCTATTTTCAGCTTTAGGGTCATTAGGCATTAGACAGCACCTCCTCAAGTGAAAAATTATTCAGTAGTGTGCTGCTTTGATCCTATATCTTGAGCCATTTCAAAACTTTGTAGCACTAACATCATTCATTTGCTCTATATGAACAAGAAATGCTGACATCTGCTCTGGACTTTTTTCGTGCTTTTTTCTTGTGTTCACAGCACCCAAATGGCATCTATGCCTAAGAATTTTGGGATGACAATAGCACACATTTCTGGATGACATTGAGTAGAATACAGCACATGTCTTTCTGTAGATATACTATGATAATGATACTGAGTGGCCCAATAAAAACTAGCTTGAAACACTAGATTCTCCATGGTTGTTTAGGGAAATACATTAAGGCCAATGGCCTATCCCTTAAGCATATTTTATCATAACAGTTTTTGGGAAGTTTGTAAAATTGCTGCATCTCAAAATGAACTGATATACATGCTATAAACTACTGTTTCAGTCTAGTATTTTCTGGAATACATGCTATAAACTACTGTTTCAGTCTAGTATTTTCTGGACCACTCTACACAAGAGACACTAATACTACTAAAGCGCTTTCATCATTTAGTCGAATATTGTATTGCGCTGTTTTTTTTTTTTAGTTGTAGCTTAGAAGGCGAATTAGTTGCCACATGGCTAAAAAAAAATAAATAAATAAATGATTAATGAGGTTAGATCTTTTGGGCCCTATTTTGCATGGATGAGACGATTTGACTGTACTTTTATGGAACAGGAGATTCAGGTGGTCTACAGGTGGATGTGGGGATGAGTGGGAACACAGCTCAGGGCTTAAGTTCGCCTCGGGGTGCTGCTCAATCTGCTCCAGCACAGCACTTTTCACCCTATGAGAATCAACCCTCCAAGAAGCACAGGTATCTTCTTTGCATGCCATCATCATGGTTTTAATTATGACTGTCACAATAGTTTTCTAAACATCGGTGCCACCCGAATTATCCATCGATGCAACTGGGGGGGGGGGGCGGAGGATTCAGTCTTCTCCCCGCGATCGGAAGGGGGTTTGACCACCTTCGTATCTTGCCGCGATCGGGGCGCGGACATAATCTGTTTTTCCTAATCTCACGCTTGTGTTCGGCGAGTTCGTGGGGGAAGGTGTGACGTTCGCGACGAGTAATGAAGCCTACCATGCCTTCAACTACCGAAAGTAACATCCATTCATCAATGGATGCATTGGGACAGCCCTTCTTTTTCCTTATTGCCGTTGAAAATCGGTTGCCAATTTCCGTTCGCGTGGTTCTTTTTTTCTTTTCTTTTCTCCTTTCTTCTGTTTTTCTCTTCTTCGTTCTACACGGTCTTCTTTGGACATCGACTCCGGCAGATTGCAAACCTGTCGATGGTGCCATACTGGCGGTTGCTGATACATCGGTACAGCCCTAGATTCATATCCAGGACTGCATCTATACAGGCTGTGCTCGTAAGGCGACGTCCATGTAAAAAGTTCACTTTGAGACCACCTTAAGTTCACTCAGGGCAAGTTAAAAGTTCAAAAACGTAAGTCTGCATACTAAAGAGAAAGACAGGAATATGGAGGGGGATTAACCTATGAACGTTTCGAAATCAAGGAAGCAAAAGAGCAGTCCACTTTCACAGCCTGCACCTGATGAGATCGAACTGAAGACTGAAACAGAAGAGAAAAAAATATTCCCGGTCTTCCCTCTCTCTCCTTTCCCACTTCCTGTCTCCGGTTCCAACTTTTTTTTTTTCCTTCCGTCTCTCTTATAGTCAGTCCCAGCATTTCCAAGATTTGATCGTGATGAGAAATTGAAAGCCCATACGGGTCTCTCTTCCTTTCCTCGCCCGGACGGACTGTATGTACTATACTCGTCTCAATCCTATAGTGCATTTCCCATCCATTTTGCTGATATGTCGCGATGGCCGAAAAAACTATCGATACCTTCCAAACATCGATAGTGGTATCGATGCCTCGACCTATTGTGGCAACTCTAGTTTTAATCATGGCGTGACACTAGAGTTTGCAAGATGTTCCTTCTTTCACAGGTTGGGACCAGGAGGAACAGAAGAAGTGGAAGCGGATGGGACTCCAATGCGGGAGATCCTGAGTGTGATGATGACCACATCGGGCTTCATTTCCCCTGCTCGAGAGGGGAAGCTCCCCGAGGCTAAGCTCCCTTCCAAGGATGTCCTCCTCTCGCGATCTCCTTCTCCCATGGATCTGGCCGATGACAAGCGTCCCAAGGGGATCAACATGAAGAAAGTGATGAAGGGGGTGAAGAAGATCGCATCCATCAATGGGAATCTCAATAAGGAGAACATGAAGCATGAGTTGCCTATTATGAGTGGCCGGGTCAAAAAGCCGCCTCGGAAGAGAAGTCCTGGTCGAGCGGGTAAAGCAAGACCAAAGCCAAAGGTCAAAGTCAAGGCCCAGCCGAAGCCCAAACCTAAGCCTTTGAAGCCGCCACCGCCACTGACACCCCCACCACTTCCTCCGATAAAACTGGAAAATATAGAGGAAGTAGAGACTGAGAAAGTGGCCAGTGAACCCACTAACAAGGGAAAGCTGAGCATCTTCAAACGTGTTGCCAGCAAACTGAAGGAGGAAGAGACTTCTCTCCCTTTTCAAAGGCACGAATCAGTGGCTGAGATCATTGAGGATCCCTATGAGGATTTCCGAGAAGTGGCAGAGAGAGGTCCAAGCCCCAAGAAATCCAAAGTGGATGATACAATCGACTCGGTGATTCGTGGAGACATCATGGAAGAAAGCATCGAAGAAAGGGTGCATGAACGGAAAGACAGATACCCTTCATTACCCCCTCCGTCTCCACCGCGAACTCCTACCGTCCGTCCATCCCCACATGAGAAAAGTAAGCGGGAGAAGACAGGGAAGAAGAGGAAACGGCACCAACCTGTGGTGGACGCTTATGAATCAAGGCCTCGGACTCCCGAAGCCCCTGTGGTGGTGAGGCCACCCATGCCCGACACTTTCCCGACATTTCCCAAGGTTCCTGCTCATCCTAGCTTCATCCCAAATCCAACATTGAATCCAATGTTTGGGAAGGTGACGTTTGGAGGACCTCCAGTTTTCCCTCCCGATCTCTCGGTCATTCCCTTCCCAGCTGCATTAAAGGGAGCCACTTCCCCATCTGTTTCTGAGAGGGAGAGAGACAGCGACCGTGAAAGAGAACGAGACAGAGACAATGATAGGGAAAAGGAAAAAGAAAGAGAAAGAGAGCGGGAGCGAGAACGAGAACGGGAACGAGAGCGAGAGCGGGAGCGAGAGCGGGAACGAGAGCGAGAGCGGGAACGCGAGCGGGAGCATGAACGCGAACGTGAGCTTGAGCGCGAACGTGAGCTTGAGCGTGAACGCGAACGTGAACATGAACGCGAACGTGAACATGAACGCGAACGTGAACATGAACGCGAGCGTGAACATGAACGTGAACGCGAACGTGAACGTGAGCGTGAGCAGGAACGTGAGCGTGAGCATGTACATGCATATGCACATCCACATGAACATGAACGTGAACGTGAGGTTGGTCAGGTTGCAAGAAGTCGCAGCACTTCCCCTGCCAAACCCAGCCCTGAAGAGAAGAAATCAAAGTCTTTGGTGAGTTCTGGTAAAAGGGCTAGAAAACTTATTGTTTGAGGTATTATTCTGAATCTCCTTCTTTGACTCCCGCATAGGAGAAAGAGGAGAAGAGAAAAGAAAAACAGAGGAAGAAGGAGAAAAGAAAAGAAAAGAAGGCAATGAAGGAGGGAAAAGAGAGAAAAGACAAAGAAAAGAAGGAAAAGAAAAGAAAGGAAAAGGAATCCCTGAAGGAGGTAGACTTGCATCATGATTTCCTCATCATCACCTTGACTAGGTTTATTGCGAACATGTAGTACTTATGAAGGGAAGAAACAATAAATATTAATATAAATAGGATATTATAGATGTTATTGGTTGAACTTCAGTGCCTTGTCCTACCAGTTCTTCTCAAGCATTACAAAAGCAGCAAGAGAGAAAACTATGTTGACATCTACTATCGAGCAGGAACTAATTCTGTTGATCATCCTTAGCTTATGATCAATGAATTATGATTATGCATATCCCCCAATTCGCTTCTTTTTGCAGCAAGAGGTCCCAAAAATTACCTTCAAATTTGGTTCTGAGTCAGACCTACAAACTGAATCTCAGCCAAAAATGTAAGTAAGTTCCTTAAGGTCAATTCCATTGTCCCCTTGTCTAATCCACAATTGAGCATAAATTTCCTGGTTCTTTGTGCTGATAGTGAGAATGCTACTTACCTTGCAGCACCATCAAGCCATTGAAGAAGCCAACTGAAGAGGAAGAGGTGAAGGAGGAACGCTTTTTACCTCTGTCTCCAGAGCTGGCCAAGTTCTCGGCCTTGAATGCCCCAGGGGTGGGAACCCCCGGCCAGCCGAGTGGCAGCCGAGGTCGTGGGGTCAGAGATCGCAGTCCTCGAGGCGGGAAAAAAGGATCCGGTCGAGGGAGGAAGTTATCAGCTGAAGCAGACACCAATCCTGTTCCACCATCCACTTTGGGGGTCATCACGGAGACCATCGGTTCTTATGTTGTACGTCCTCAAGTGTACCTCTTCTCTTCTGAACTTAATTCTGTGGTCTTGTGGTAGTTATTAATTTCCTTCAAAAGTTGGAAGTGAAATTGAATTCATTCAATCTGTCTTTATGGGAAAGAAATTATTTGAAAGGTGTTGTAGTGAGAGTATGTCCAAGTTGACTGAGAGTGCATTTAGGATTATATGCAGCAGACTTGTAGAACCTGGAAGTCAGGGAAATTCAAATGGAGTGTAAAAGCCAAACATGGTCATGAAAATTATATGGACTTAAGCAGTTGCTTGCACAAGAAGCAGAAGACAACTAAAAGTAGACATTGAAAGCTGTGAGAAAAATCCAAATTCTGGATTGGCTACTTGAAAATAAATCTGGAAAGTTAGGGAAATTTATTCTTAAACTTTTTTAGAACCCAGTATCTTTCAGTTAACTTCATAAGTTAAAAAAAAAACTATTCTAGTCGAAATGCTGTGAGAGTCATGTAATGTAACTTTCGTTTTGGGCAGGATGAGGAAGGGAACAAAGTGTGGATCTGTCCCTGCTGTGGACGGCAGGATGATGGCACTCCCATGATTGGATGTGACAAGTGTGATGACTGGTATCATTGGTCTGTATTCAGGGTCTCCAGCTTACACTCATCATCTTCTTGCTTTTTTTTTTTTTCTTCAAATAATGCTGTTTCCTGTGCACAGGGTGTGTGTGGGGATCCAGGTGCCTCCGGACGAGGACGAGCCGTGGTACTGTGTCAAGTGCCTTTCCAAAAAGCATGGGCTCACCATGACACCAGGGAAGGGAAAACGGGGACGCAAGAAGGTCCCTTGAATGTGTCATCTTGTCCGTACATTCTCTTTGAGCATCGAATCATCTCTGTGCGCTGCATCCCGGGAGACGAATACCGTTACCGGTACTGCATTTTCTCTCGTGGGAATCAATCTCCCGATCGATTCGAGCCCGTACATGATTCTAGAGGTGTGGCTTGATGCAAATGTGATGAGAAAATATTTAAATGATTTTCTACAAATTACATGATTGATGATGAAATGAGATGAAATATATAGTACAATGATTATATGAATATGGAATGAATGCATTTCATTCTCTCCTCTTGTACAGTTTCTTTCCTGTTCTTTTCATCAGTAGAGGATGGACAGATCCAAGAATCTATCCTATCCAATAGCACCACGTTCAAGGGGATTCAAGAGGCAGGGACAGGGGAGAGTGCCCTGCTGTGATTCTTGCATGCTTATTTCAAAAGCCAGATAGAGCTTCACTCAGCTCCCGCCCTTCCGTCCATGTCTCTCGCTTGATTCCAGTGTGATTGGTTTCAATTGAAGATTTTGATGGCCTTGTCATTGTGTCATGTGAACACACTCCTTTTGTCGATATTTTTCATAGTGCTGAAGGGAGAAATGTAACCGAGTCCGCCCTTCGTAGCATTGGCGTAGTCAGGATTTCGCCGAAGGGGGGCTAGAAACTCCCAAAATTCTCTATAAAAAAAAATTAAGAATTTAAAATTGGACTTTCACTGATAGGTTCTCCTTGGACAAAAGGTTAGACAAGAGGATCCACGTAGGGAAGTAACGGATATTCCCCCCCCCCCTTTTTTTTTCCTCGTCACTCAGCTAACAAATTTACAAACAAAAAAGTCTGGAGACTACAAAATACTGAGTTTCCAGCTTACATGTGGTTTCCGTTCGCAATTTCCTGATATCATCATGCTGTTCCAACGCAGATGGTTGAAGAATCGCAAGAAATACGTGAATCGTCTCGTTCCGACTCCCTCGCCGCCTTCGAGTCCTTTAATTCCTCGGAAATTATTTTGATCGTTGATATCTCGCGTGAAAAAGGGGAATTCGATGTGACAGCTGAGAATCGGGTGATTGGAATTCACTAGATCGAATGGAAAGGAGCTGAAATATCGATTGTCCGTGTTTTAGCTTGAAAATCTCATTTAGTGTTTCTCGGTGAGTTCGGCGCACGTTCCATAATCTTTCGTAATCCACTTCTTATGTGTGTGGAACTCATTTTCCACTTGCTTATTGGTATTTTCACGGAGTACAGTACTTTTAGCGCAATCCGTGAATCTTTGGACGCTTGACATTCTAAAGACTATGCCCATGCATTCTCTCCGAGGGTTATCCCACGAAGACCTACAGTTGAGACAATTGAGCACACTGTGCCTAATCGCCGGGAAGGCGAAAGGCGCATCTTCCACCTTCTCAACAACGATCTCCAAAGGGTCGTCAGATGGAAGTGTCATTCGGAACGGCATGCGCTCGATGGGCTGGAGGAGGGAATATGAAACATTATGCGACGCGTGCAGATCATTCTGAAACGAGTACGAAGCAATATGCCTCTAGTGCAATGTGCGGCGGGTACGAAAGTCAATGGGAAACACTATTACCCATATCCTGTCGCGCTTTTCCCTGTCTCGCCTTCTGCACGAATTTTTTCTTTCCAGCATTCCACCGCGAACCCCGTTCGCAGAGGTTTTGCTATTCGCGGTTAGGTCACTGGCGTATTCGAAGGTCTCGAGAACCCACTTCTTTCCCGATCTAACGAACAACGACCGGCATCAGACTCGGGGAAAGACCCGAATGATGATGGGCGAACCGAATCGAAGTACGTCGCACTGCTTCCAGTCTTACAGGCATGGGTATTTCCATTTTTGGGTCTTTTACGAAAAAGTGCCTTCGACATAAATATGTGCCCTCACCATTCGATTCTGGGAATCCACTGATAGAGATCGGATTTTTTTCGAGCGAGAAGCTTCCTCTTTGAGAAGCGTTGTGGGTAATGAAGTCGGAAAAAGATCGAATATGCCCACGGCCGTCGTCGAGTCCTCGCGGACTGCGCGGGCAGTTCTCTCTCGTCTGTCGAGCGTGGCGTGTGTCGTGGGGATTTCGTTTAAGGTGAGTGGTTTCGGGCCGTCGAGAGGGGGTGTAGAGTTTTTTGGTTTCGTTTCTTTGCATGTTTATGATGCGGTGGGCGATTGGTTAGCGTTTTCGTTTCCGTGGTTGAAGTTTTCGCTTGGGTGCTGCCGTTTTCTTGCTGATTCGTTTCGAAGCAGGCCTTAGCCGGGAGTGCAGCGGAGACGCGATGCGTTTCAGCTGCAGGGAATTTCCCCACTCGACTCCGACACCCATGCACGAAGCACTGGCGTCGTCGTTCCACAGTCGTCGGTGCCTCGTGAAAAACACCGTAGCATGCTAGGCGGCTCCACTCCGAACGGCTCTGGCCTATGCGTTGCCTGCATTGCTTGGGGATGTCGTGGAATCCAGGGGCGGATTTGGATGTTTCCCGCCCACTTTTTTTTACGTGGTTTTTCGGGTCCGGCAGAGCAGGATGGCTTTTCATACGTAGGTTCCATTCGTCGAAGGGGAGTTTGCTTTTCACTTCGTGTATGGGGCTGTTTAATTTTTGAAAATAATGTATTATTATTATTATTAATATTAAAGTTTCTTATGGTAACCCCTTAGAAACTTTAATGGAAATCCTCATGAAATCCTCGTGAAGTGATCCAAATATCGGGAAGTTGGTGCATCACTGACTGGGAATCGGCTGATAAAACTATATATCCCGGCAATGGGGGATCATGAGATCCTGCCCAAGTTAACACATGAACGTTCAAAGGGACGTTCAACCCCTGTTCAATGAGGTTTTTGGACGTTCACTAAAAGTGCACTTTGATTACTAAGTTACGTTTCTCAAGGAAGTTGTTTGTATCTGTGCCATCCATCTGACAGTGGCTAGAACCAAAGGTTCACACGACCGACGTCAGATGACGCCAATGTGGCTGCTATAGCTAGTCGGTAACTGATAACAGCTGTAATTATTCCCCAATACTTTCCTCGCTGTGCCCGATCTTTCCCCCACAGACATCACAGGGGAAGACATTCGAATTCTTAAGCAAATCGGTCTCGTGAGGTAACCCAGTCCAAGTGAAAACCTCTTGAAAACTCTGGCTCGGAGGATGGAGGAAGGATGGCTCAGTTTTCAAGCTGACTTCATGAGAAGTCCTTGTTGATTCTCAAAAAGAGATTTCAGGGCGTTGCGGATTTACCTTCTGCTATGGAGATGGATGGCGTGGCGACAGATGATTGTCCACCTGTATGCGTGTCTCCGGCGCAGAGAAGGAACTGCTAATCTGGTAGCAGAGAGAGTTTGGACCCAAGAAGGGACTCTCGCACACGCAAGGGTGGGTATACAGTCTTTCCTACGTGGAGAAAAATAATACTTCTAATTTAAAAAATAGGATACGTGATTGCTCTTGACCCCAGTCACGGGAGCAGGGACACTTGGGATGTATGCAACTATTCGATCCTGCCGTTTGAGAATATTCAAATCGCGTCCTTGATGTACGATCAAGGAACGCATGATTTGAACTGTTTTTGATCACTCTAAATTTTGGAAATTTGAGCAGTCAATCGAGTCAGAACGTTCCCAAGGACGTTCAAGGAACGTAGACAATGCCTTAAATGAAACGTTCATACATGAAACGTCCCGGTACTACTGGGGTGGTAAATACCAGAATTTCAAGGGTCCAGGTCAGGGGTGGGAAAACTTTTTAGCTTACGGGTCTCACGAGAAAACGCATGAGCCCTCTCGGGCCACAAGCCAGACACAGGTGGAAGGATGAAGACTTACCAACATCCCAGTGGGACATGCAGCTGGCGGGCCGTTCGAAATGCTGTCGCGGGCTGCATCCGGCCCGAGGGCTGTCGTTTGCTACCTGTAGTTGTAGTTTGTCGTGTGGGTGTAGGTGAGATGAGAATTCTCGCGAATTTGAGTGACTAAGACCATTTATTGCTCTCGTTTTAAAGTTTTAAATCAGTCGATTATAATTAATTTAAGCAGTTCCATATCTCACAAATAAATATTACAAAATGCGCAATTTTTTTTTTTTTTCAGAAAATTTCAAGTTTGCAATCCAAAAAAACTTAAGCAATGGAAAAGCTGGTAATGAATTTGGTTTTTCGTCTTTCATACTACATTGAGTTAGCTCGATAACATTTTTCACTTCCAATTACCACGTCCCTAAAATTAACTATGGTAATTCAAAACCATCGCATTTTGCATGATTCCTGGGTGCAGATATGATTCTTCCAGAAATGTAACAGCTCCATATTATTACTCTGAAAAATAATTTGGAAGTTTCTTTCAATCAGCCATCCCAGGAAAAAATTCACGATGGAACATTTAATTTTAAAATATAAACTGGACACCATGACTAAATTTCTTTAGAAAAAAGTGTTGAATTGGCTTTAAATATCTCCTAGGGATAGCCGTAGGATGGAAGCTGCTTTTGAGTTCCAGTAATGAACGGAATAAATAAGAACAGAGATGTTTATATATAAGAAAAGGCAATATCATATCTAAATTTGGTGCAAGCCCGCGTAAGGAAATTTCAGTTAATAAAATATTTACCAGCCTGTTCATTGCTTGTATCATTGCGGTGACAGGAATAATGAAAAAAAAGACGCCAGTTCGAGTTCCTCAGAGATATTTCATCCAAATATTCTGAGAACCTTAATAATCTTGACGTTTTCATAAATCCGATCGTGTTTTTTCACGATCTTGCCCCAAATTTTGCATTCTCACCGAAGGACAGTTGGCACAACTGAGTTTAACCGTTGATTGCTATCATCGGGAAGTTCGAGTAATTCACTGAAACTAAGGGTTTAATTTTTTTTTTTGCCCCTAAGTCCTTATCTATATTCATGGAAACAATGAATTTCCTTTACATTCAATCATTGTAATGGATAAACCTAAACGGCATTGTTGCGGTCGGTGGTGGCCTTGGACGCATCGTGTGCAATATTGTCGGATTCGGCTGCGGCGAAATCCGCTTCTGCAAACCTGCAACTTGATGAATCCTCAGGAAAAAAAAAGTAGATTGGAGTCGGTTCCGACCTTGTTGACCGACCTCGGCCTCTCTGCCGCTCAGGAAACCGAATACCATCCTGAGTAAACCTGAAATTTAAAGGAAATGTAGCATTTTTCATCAAAATAGATAGGGAGTTTATGGACACCCTTTATGTATTGGCAGATATCCACACCATCTGCATATTGAAATGATGAAACGATGAAATGAGTATCCAGGATGTCCATTAAGTGATAATCTATGGGTAGCTTTTTTACTCATGAGTATATCGTAACTGTTTTATCTCATGTTTAGACTATCTGTAGGCCTCATAATGATGTCGCATCTAACCTGCCTCCACTATAGTGTGACTGACAATATCTCCTATGGCTGAAAGAAACCAACAAGCTGCTTTCAGCAAGCTCTTCATAGGTATCCATACAAAATAATACATTTTTTTCAACAGGCATATTACTCAATTTAGTCATGAAAAAAATACAAATATTCTTAATATTTGTGATCTCTTTCTTGATTCACATTTTCATCTGAAAATGAAGAGTCCAATCCCTGAGAAATTCATTCCTGGCTAGAGTGAGATTTCTTCAGGTTGGCACTCTCGAGGACTGCAGAGGCTCCTCTTGCATGGCTGAATATGTTCTGGATGAAGATCATGCTCTCATTTTTTATTTGTTCCCCTCCATTGAGAAGACTAAAATGACAGTCAAGAACACACATTTCTGTGACAGAGATGATCAGAGATTCTAGAGTTTTATTTTGAAATTTCTATGACTAATGTTCTTCTATGGCCATTATTGCTCTGAGATCAGCTTTCAGATCTATAATATCACAGGCAGAGCCAGTCACAGCAACACCTCATGTCTGATTTCTTGTGAAATGGTAGTAGCTGCTCCATCTTCATGTCAATGCTGAATGCACAATTTTGATGTATGCACTCTTTAGAAGTTGATAATGATCCACATTTTGAATGCTACTGCAGTTTGATTGATGAGGTGAGAAAATGAAGCACCTTTTCAGGAGATAGAGGGCTGGGCTTCAAACTTTTTTTCAACTTTATCCAATAAATGCCATCTTAACCTGCCATGGGATGTTATCATGGGAGTATATGAAGGGGCTGGTCTAATTGGAGACTTGAGATTCGTCATTGCACTCTTGTTCGCCCCACCAATGTGGTTATTTTTCATCAATGCATTTCCAATGGTTCATGCTTTTGGGAAGGCCACCCCTTAGAAATACTGAAGATTGGGATCATCCTTCATCCAGCTTGGCAAGAAATGAGGGGAAGGATAGGATGGGTGTTCCACAACTCCAGCCCCAAACTTCAGCTCCAGGAACTCCTTGACTCGGTTCGGAACAGGAGCATCGTAGCTGAGGAAAGGCATACGCTCTATGGGTTGGAGGAAGGATTCAGGGAACTCTCGGTCTTGGGGGTGTGATTCAAACCAGAAGTCCTTGGTCATTGTCCCATCTCGAGACTCAAATGGAAAGAGGTCCACATGCACACGGTTGTGGACACCATAATGCACCCGGAAGAAATCTCCCTCTCGTGCCTTCTCCCAGACAAACCCCTTCTGGTCCACCAAGGGTCCTTCCTCAAGGTGGCTAAAGTTCCTAAGCTTCTGCAAGTCTTCACGGTAGACCCCAAGGTCCACATCGTAGTCCCAGGGGATGATGTCTCCATTGCGGACTGCTCCCAGGAGACTCCCTCCTTCCAGCCAATAGCGGACCTATGAGTTGAGGTCACAGTGGTGAATGATTCCAAGATGCCATTACATTTCATATCCAGATGGACACAGATGAACCCAAGAACTTGGCAAGAAAAGGGGTTGACTAATGAAAAGGTAATTTTGAAATACCAGCCTGTTAAATTTTTTACTTGCCATAGAACTTGATGGCAAGCCATATCTCTTTTCACACAACTGTACATTGAATCCTTCATCAGGGTATCCATGAGCAAATTGACCTTGATGGTCAGGAACACACAGGGACTTGTATCTAGCAATTAACATCTATCGGGAGACCCTGTATTTTTATGCATTATTGATTTAAATGTGTCAAGTTCTCTGGAAGAATCATTGAGTCTGATGCCTCCTTACAACCAAGAACATCCAATTTTATGATGCTACTGGTTAACCCCTTTTTGCCTCTTGGTCTTAGAGCATGCACCTTGAGACGGTCAAGCGTTTGGAAGACATGAAGTGTGGTTTTCCTCAAGGCCTTCAGGCAACATGGTGGAGTCCACCTTCCTGCAAACAAGTACTGAGGGATCTCAGTATGGGGATCGATGCTGGGGAAACATCTTGGGGTGTCCTTGGTGCACCCAAACCATTCTGTCATCCCCCTGGGACCAGCCACTAACTTCACTCCAACCTCATGATACAAATGCCTCCGGTGGGCTTCATTGTATTGAGAGTGTTTCTCCACCACCCTCTTCTCCCAGGTAGGAGCAGGGAGAGACACCACTGCCTGTGAGTGCAGTTTACCCTGTTGAAAAGGGGATTTCTTGTTAGCCAGCAGATTCATCAAGAAGTTATTCATCAACAGTAGATGCATTTATGTGACCTTAATTTCCTAATATTTGTAGGAAAGTAAAACAAAAATAAAGTGGAAATATAGTGATACTCAAAAGTGAGGTGACTAGTAAAGGTGGCCCCACCTTTACTAGTCTTCAGAACAGGTTTTGACTTGTATATGAATGCTATTGGAAGTGAAATGATTTATTTTGCTGTCTCATGAATTTATCATCTCATGAGAGATGATAAAAATTTCATAATTATCATTAATGGATTAGAAAATTTTTTTCTATTGCGAACATCTAATTTCATTATCAGAAATTCTTTCCATGTGGCTATAGAGAGATCATTCTAGTATGGGAAAAAACTTAGTAGTATTTTGGAATAAAGTGATCCAATCATAAATGAGCATAACTAAACAAGAAATAATGGTAACATTTATAAGAAGATATGCAACAAAATCTCCCCACATCTTGAATGAATGAAATTCAAAAAATTATTATTATTTTTTTAAATGAAAATACCAGATGAAAAGGGTTTGCTCTTACCCTGTGGTGGTAAGCTTAGAACAACCAACCAATATATGAAAAGAGATTGCACATTCAAGTATATTGACCTGTACCCCAGACATGAACAAGTGAACTAACTCATGGAGACTTACCCTCCAGTGCTTGATGAGACCTTGGATATAAAGAGATTCAGGAATGGGCCTCATGAAAGGTCTAGGAAGGCTGAAGAAGCTCTCAGTCGACAGGAGTACTGTGTGCCTCCCATCGACTCCCTGGCATTCCTCATTGGTACTTTCTTCCTTGGTCAATGTCCACCTCTTGACATCCAAACTCATCTGAGGACAAATGGCCAGTGGTGCAATCTGTTTGAGCTCTGACTTTGATCATTGAAATCATGAAAATCATTTAAGTCCTGGGTAAAATAAAATTAAAGATCAACTTCTATCAAAATAACAAATTATAGATCTAGTGAGAATATCACCTTGGAACATGTTGCATTTTGAAAAGCAGGGAGTGCCAAAAAGGTGTAATTAGATGAGAAGAGCTCCTTGATGGCCAAAGCAAGGGTGGTAGCATTGGATATAGAGGCTGAGTCAGGGAAAAGGACCAAATATGGTTTCTCAAGGACCAATTGAGGATGCTTGTGTCCCCAGGTAGGATTCAGGAGTAATAGCTCTACTTTTTCCTCAAGCACCACTCTATGGGAGCAGGGAAAACTTGTATGGCTCAAGTCAACATAATTTACAATTCACAGGCTGAAATTATTGTTGTAATGTATAACCAAGGAAGTCTTTGAAGGACTTCAAGAAGAATTGTAAATTGTTTTTAAAATTAGGTATGAAATTTTCATTGATTTTAATCATTCTTTTCTAGTGAAGGAGAGGTGATGACCTTGGAGGTGGATAAGGGAACTCTTCAGATGCAACGACGACATGGAGACCGGGACACTTTGCCAGGAGGTCCTCAACAACAGCATCTAGTGTTGTTGCAAATGGTTCAAATTCCACAAACAAGGCTGTGACTTTGTCTTGACAACAAGGCTCCAAACAGGAATGTAAATCTTGTACGCTCAAGTATTTGATACAAGCTGTGAAAGCCAGGGCTAGTGTCAGGCTGAACAGAGTGTCTTGTACCCCCATTCAATCCACTTATTCCTTTCTTCAGTCCATTTGAGGTATCTTGAGGTGATTATATTCAGGAGCTAGGGAACACATTTGATGTGAACTGATGTTCTGTTTTCCCTTTTCAGGGTAAACTCTCCTTTTGTTTTGCCTTAGATATTATCTGGAGAAACTGGTGAAGTTGGATGATTCTCATCATCCAGGCCTCTCACATGAAGCCAACTCCTTGCACTCCACAAAAACAATTCTCAAGAATGTCAGAGAATTTACCAAGGAAAATGGGTGAACATGAACTTAGTCTGTTCAATTCAGATCATGACACAAGTTCCTAAAGCTGAAAATTTTTCGAATCAGGGATACAGAATTCTAATTCAACATTTGAGGACCAAACTACTCTCATTCCTTACAAACTCATCATATGAGAACCTGAAAGGCTCTCAGATGAACGAGTCAATATACATCAATACCTCAGGTCGTCAACGAAAGTTTGTATTCCCCCCAATATCTTTCAAAAAGATGTGAAAGACTTTCCTCTTTTCCAAATTACTAGTAAGAAAGTCACTTCTAATGTGCAACAGTGCTTTATTTCTGGATTGGTGGGTTTGGTCTGCAGTCACTCTAGTGGCAATACCACATCAAGATCCATAAAATACATGGGTGAAAGATGATTACAATGAAAAAAAGTTCATTGTTAGACCATCATTTCATTCTTGCTAATAAGGTTGACCTCCATGGGGTCAAAAGGATTTCCGATTTATGAAGTACTTTCATTGGGCTTGGTTCTGTCAGTAGGAATGTACATTTTTTGAAAAAATAGGCATCACCAAGGAAGCTCACAATATATGCAAACGCAATTCAGATCCAGGTCTCCCACTACAAAATGAGGGGGAAACATGAGACTGTACTGAGGTTGCAGGTTATATATCAATGCTACCGGTATCTCAAAATTATCATAACATCTGACAGTTGTTACTCTAGAGACATACAATGGAGGACAGAATGCTGTCTACAGAACAGATAAATATAAAGATTCCTCACATACATACTCTTCCAGTTGAGACTTAACAGCAAAACCTCTGTTCACAAGGTGAAAAGTACCCTGATGCACCATGGATGGCAGATGACAGCTCAACTGCAATATGAAGCCTTCTCCATGGTTCTCACATATGCCAGCCATACACTATCCATTCCTTCTCAAGACTCACTGCAAATGAATTTTGCTTATAATCTTTGGGGCATGTGATGATAGGGATTGGCAGTTTTTTTTTTAAACATATCATTGAAAAGAGTGAATCCATGAAGTTGTTAAAAGTGACACAATCCTTTTGGCCAAGTCTTTCAAAGCATAGAGCTTTACAGGCTCTTTAAACTGAGGTGCAAGCATAAACCATGGATGGACAAAATTATGAAAATGAGATCAACAGTTATCCCTAAAATCTATCACCACAAAAGGCATCAATGGTTCACTTGACGGATGCGTTCCACGATGGCCCCTCTGTCCTTCACGCCTTTCCAAGCCAAGTCCTTGTCCTTTTTACTAGGGGGTTTCTTCTTTTGACGACATGCTGCTATCCGTTTGTACGACTCTATCACCTGCAACCAGAAACATTATTAGGCATTCATGAGGGAAGGAAAATGTGTTGGAGTGAGGGCTGAAGTAGAAAGGGGACTCACAATTTCATCAGACTTGTCAAGCTGCTTTTCCAGCTCCTGTTTGTGGATGTGAAGAGTGGCAACACGCAACAGACGTCTTATCTGTTGCTGATTGTGCCCAGCCAGTTTCTTCAATTCCCCTTGACATCGGCGAAGCTCTCTTAGAATCTCATCGTTGGGATCATCCTGTAGGAGTAGAAATAAGGATGGTATGTTTAAAACCAAAGAATATAAAAAAATATGGTTTAATAGATACTGAACTAACAAGTGGGAAGGTGATCAGGATCAAGTGTTGGGATGTTATGAGCTTATGAGAGTAACCCAAGAAGCAGTAGACTCTTTTTCTGATAAGTAATCTACCTACTCTCATAGTGAGTACCTGCTTAATGTTGGAGTAACACACCACTCTATGTGGCATGCATGCTTCAGATATATGTGCAATACATTTTAAATATCACTTGTTCCAGTCATTAGTCTCAGCAACCCATGGGCATGCAGACTGAGCAGGGATGTCCCTGCTTGTGGTACCATATCAGCAATGGTGCCTGAGCAGACATACCCTTACTCTGTATATTGAAATATGTCTATTACCTTACAAGCTGCTCCATGTCCTGTCAAAAAAAATATAGCAAGGTTGAATATATAGGTGTCCTGGAGGTCCGTAAGTAAAATTCCCATTCGAGATAAGTCACTCAATGAAGACATACTTGAGATGTTTTAACCCTTTCAGATCTGGCATCCATTCCAATGGACATTGCATTTACATTATGTCAATGGCAATTTCTTAGGATTCTCATGACTTTGCACTCCATATTACGTAATGGGCGTAATCATGCATGGCTCAGTTCCATCTGATGCCTTCTTTCACCCATTAGTTTTGTAATCTTCTGTTATTTAACTAAATGTATAATGTATAATATATAATATATGGTATATTATGGTAAATTTATACAAAATATGAGAGCTTCATATAAAGCATGAAAACTTCAATTACAATCACAAAAGAGCTCAAAAATGAAAAAAGGATATTATTCCAATGGCAGCCTTAATTCAGGCCTGAAAGAGTTAATGAGGAAGATTAGCTGTGACATATTGAGTGATGGAGCAAATCCATTGGAATCTCCCTAAGTGCCCTAGGCAAGATGCTCCTCTCCTATTGGATCATTACTGCCATAATGTAGGCAAAAAAGCAAGAAACTAGAGTCTGTGGTCTAGAGGATGGAAATTGATTCTCTGGAAACCCAGACTGCTATCTTCAGAACTGGCAGTGCTACATTAGTGCATGGGCTGTATAGAAACATATAACAAATGGAAAAGAGAGCAAGCAGATCATCACCTGGGATGGGTCATCAGGATCCAGCAATCCCTGTTCTTCCAGCTCCTTTTTGATTCGCCTTTCTAGCTGGATGGCATTTGTGATGCCAAGGGAGCTGATAACATCCTTTTCGCTGCAGGATACCTTCAGGTTTTCATCTGTCACCACATCAGATCCTGAGCCTTGTTCCATGAGGGCAGAGACTAGACGCTGTGTGAGAGGCCCAAATGGGGACACTTCCTCCCTAAGAATGACCATCAGTACAAATGTCAACTATGTCAAATCCAATTCGATGAGCCCTTCTACAGCTTCTAATGCAGTGGTTCTCAACCAGGGGGTTTGCAAAACTATGCCTAACAGACAACAAATATTCAAAATTACTTATATTAGCTTTAGAAACCCAAAACTTACACTATAGTGAAGGAAGTCAGTGTGGTTCACTTCTATTCCAAAAGGGATTGCAGATTTTAAAAAGTTGAGAACTACTGTTCTAATGCGTAATGCATGTAGCTGGGTAACAGAAGGATCTGAGTGCATCATGCTAATATCATTATGAACCCATTGCTTATATACACTTCCTTGCCATCTTGTTCTCCTACCTTAATAATAAAAAAAATGGTTCATGAACTTCCCATAGACAAATCTATAGTTATATGCTCTTAAACTCCTGGTCAGTTCCCTTCAGGAGAATATATGGACAGAACCATTGACTGTACATTTTTCAATTCAGTTGGCTCATTCTCTTCACTGATTAATTTTTGTAAAAATTTCTTTCCATCTGGAATGCCATGGCAGGAAGAAAAAAAGCTTACTGGACATGACACTCCTCTCACGACACACTCAGAATGCATCATTTTTCAATGACCTAACTTACTGCATCATCTTACCTGTTATACCACTTGTACTAGCATACATCCACATTATGCCTAACCTTACTGCACAACACAATCCTTTGTCTGTGTTTAAGGAGAATGCAAAAGGGTTATGAATTCACATACCCATATTTGGAACTCCAATTAGTAGCCTGAGTGGGAGTGGAGGGTTTCTTCTTTCCACCTTTCTGGTCTTCAACATCCTCCATAGCCCACTTGAGGGTGTAATGAGTGCCAAGAGTAGGAACCTGTAGGAGATCCTTCTCCAACGAATCATAACTCCTCAAAGTATTTTCCAGAAACTGAAAAGAATTCCAAAAAACCAGACACATGCAAATGAATGCACGAGGAAGGGTAAATGGATGGAGCACCTATCTGCCCTGGCCCAGGTACGAGGAACTGAAATGGCTCACCTGAACATCCTCACTCGATATGGGAGCGCAGTAAGGCTCGACGGATTCCCAGAACTTTCGAGGAACATCCAACTTGTGCACCACCACAGGAGATAAAGGACTCTCGTGTGCATATTCATGAGGGACGCTTGGGCTTGCATCCAACTTCAGATTCATCTTAACATGTGGGAGCAACAAAAGCACAACAGGTGAAGGATGGCATGTTATGCAGGCCATGCAATATACAGACTAATGTAAAATTCCTCATTACAAGATAGCACACCCAAGTCACCCATATTTATACATGGTCAAAGAACATGATAGAAGGTTTACTGCCCCAGTGTTTTCACTTGAGCAAGATATTATTTCACTTGGGACACCTATGAATAGAAAGGGCCACATTGGCATTCAAGTCATGAGAAAAAAAGCATTAATAAAAAGTTCTAACCAACAGTAAACTTAAATTGACTTCATGCTTTTATGCTGATTTGGTTTCTATTTGGTACTTCTTATTGGCTGCATGAACCCCACAAGAATGCAACCTAAGTCCAAAAATGGAGAGTTAATCTAAATTCACACCAATTCAGTAATGCATTCAGCAATAAGGAAAAGACCAAAACATACCTTTGCCTTGGGTTTCACTGTAGGTAGAATCAAGTCCTTCGATCGAGACAGGGAATCTCGGAATCTCTTCATGGACTTGTCCTCTGTCTTGCCCTTTTTTGATATGGACAAAGAATTCTAAGGGAACAGAAAAAAAGACACAGGATGCATTATATAGGAAACAATCAAATGATGAACTGGCAAAATTGCAATGGTTCCAGAAGCCCCTATGTTCTTTGCAAACCTTTGAGAGACCCAGGAATTTCGGAGTCATGGTTTTGTCCCCTTTGGCATCTGCTGAGTCAAGTATTACAAGCTCATGATGAAGTGAAAGCTGACGTTGAGCTGCAGCTGAGAGGAGACTTTCCAACTCCAACTGCAATTGGTCTATTTCCTCCACCGTCAAAGCCTCCAAATTTGAACTCTCCAATACTATGAACATCAATCAAGTTGAATTCAAATTAGTACAAGGCCTAGGCCGATCCGTCTGTCATCACGACACGAAATTCGACTCAATGGGAGAGCCTCACTGGAGCTGTATTTGGAGAGTTCGCAGTGATCGATGGGCAGGACATCGGGGAACGTGAGGGGACAGTCTTCCAGAGACACCACATCGTCCTTGTTCTCCTTCCTATCTCGACTCCCGGACGGGAAAGGGCTGCTGGAGCGCTCCTCTGGCTTCACGAACTTCAACTTGGAGGCACTACCCGTATGCACTTTGGCACTTTTCTTCTTCGTGCTGCTACTGCTGCTGCTGCTTGTGCTCGCCTTACTCTTCTTCGGCTTCATTCTCCCGTTTCGCGACAGCGAACCTCAACATTGGAGATATCAACAGGTGGGGAGGATGGAAGCCGCCATATGCACTGATGTGCATCTGGACCAACCGCTTCCACATAGTTCTCCTAAATGTCAGGGAAGCTTTTGGTTTTTCTGAGAGAAACCAAAGGTTTCATGTACACATCGAAGTTTAAAAATCCATTTTTTATTCCCTCATGAGAAATCAACTATATCAGCGAGTGATATGGAATCAGCCTTTAGTGAGCAGATACCAGAATCGGGCATCGACGAGTCATGCTCACGGCGTCTACCATAGCCGACGTTCAAGACTGACCGATAGGCCACCCTAGTTTTTTTTTTCTGAGTTCGCATTTTTAACAAGAATCCGACATGCCCGAACCCGGCAGAGCTCCCAATAGCTAATATCATGCAATGATTTCCAGGCCTACGGAGGAACACTCGGTAGACTAGCTTCACGCTCCCGACAGTCCGCCAGTTGTCAAATGGGTTAAATTTGCGCCTTTTACTGAACTTGAGTCTACGCCGTGCTCTCCTATGACTAACTTTAGCCTTGGCCATGACTTAACTGTTCTGCATTTCACCCTTTTTCCCCTTGAGGAGGGAAGCATGCTGTCACTTTAGAAGCTTCCCCTCGGCCTACAAGTTTTTTTCATTTCGGTTTTCACACGTCCCATGTGGTATCCCTTGGCACTAAAATTTTGCTTTTAATATTATGAATGAAAGTAAGGCTTCTTTAAGCATTTCTCAACTCAAGTTTTTTATTTTATTTATTGTTATCTGTGAGTTGTCATTTTGAAGTGAATGCTCAAAATGTTTCACACTGAACTTGAAAGCATGCCTTGGGAGAACCAACCTTTGAAGAATATTTAGACCTATTTAGACTAAGTAGATGTTACAAAAAAGTATAAAGTAAATTGACATTCTTTTTCCTTCCATTAGTGTCTGATGAAATAATTTCAACTGAACTGAAAATGTCATGTAATTGTTAACCACCTTACTATGGCATTTGGATGAAAGTCAACAAAATCAACCTAAATGTGATTTTACAATGTAGAGCTTGGTTTGTGGCCGTTTGAAGGTACAGCTCTAAGCCAATTGAAAACTTATTGGTAGTTGGAGAGCCCCAGCATATGGAAAATCATTGGACTGAGTCCATTCATTTTGAAAAATAAACCAAACCAATAGTAGACTGTTTAATGCATAAAATATATAAGGGAAAATTACATTCAGACATAAGCTGTAGCCCACTACCTGACTAACTTTGGAGCCTTGCTTGGGAATAACACTGATAGAGAGCATGCAGTAACTGCTTCCCCTCAGAGCTTGTCTTCAGTTTGCATTTGCTTGATTTATGAGGTTGAATGGCCCAAGTGAGCTGAGTTCACAGCTACCATCTTCAAATAATGACCTGATGACAACTTTACAAGCATAAGGATTGAACACAGACTGCTTGCATAGTTAATTGGAAACCTGAGAGTATAAAGTAAAAGCACAATCTGTATTTCCACATGCCACATTGACTCCAGTCTCTGAATTACTTAGAGTATAAGGAGTCATAGAATAGAAGTGATGATATGATGGATTTTGCTGTGCTAAAGAACTATTTCTCTTTTGGATCCAGTAGGTAGCAGGATTATTGCATGCAAACTAATTTTTTGACATGCGTTTCCTTCAAAGAACATTAAAGGTCCTTTTAACAGCAAGTAAAGGCACTTTGCCTGCCTCTGCAGATGCCACTCCTATCCCACTCAGGTGAGAAATTAAGCTGATATATTTCATGCTACAGTTTCATTTTAGCAATGTGGAACCAATACCAGACCTAAAGTAATAGCCTACATCTGCTTTAAGAACCAATGGACATCATTATGTTTTGTTGTCACTCACCTCTGAAAATTGCTTGTTTCATCAGGTGGTCAACCTTGAAAGTCCTGAAGAGGTACTCAGTCTTCCCAGCCCACTGGCCACAGCCAGTCTATCGGCCAGAAGAGCAAGAAAAGCTGACAGGAACTGGAGAAATAGAGGAACTTTCTTTCATTCCTGTCAGACCGGCAAGGAGTACAGATACCAGTTCGGTCTTCCATGATCCTCGGGTCAAGTCAGTGTTGCACAGTTGATCTCTATATGTTCCAAGATGTGAGAATGCCAATATGCTAAGATATAGATCTGGAAAGTGTCACCCTACATGTTGATAGGCTAACAAATATGCTGCTTTGGTAAATATATATTTTTTGTTCTTTTTTCTATTGCTATTTCTCATGGATTCCTATCTCATTTCTGACATAGCAAGTTTATAAACATGCTGATGTGGGATGGAAAGAGGAGGCTGGCCCGTGGTCTTGTTGAAGAGGTATGATGAATTTTCATTTTCAAGATTCTGCACTGCTTGGCTTGATTCAGCATTCAATCCAATCCACAGGCATTCAAAGAAGTGAAGCGAATACAGTTAGAGAAGTACCACAAGGCAAGTGAGGAGGAGAAGCGTGGCATTGAACTGAACCCTCAACGAATTTTCCATGGAGCAATTGACAATTGCAAACCCATTCTTGCACTCATTCCTCTCAAACGAGGAGGAGTCACTTACCAGGTACTTTTTCATTTATAAGTGAGATTTACATCAAGAAGTAACGCATGGCACAATGATGGTTGGAATGAGCAACTGCTAATTTGTTTTTCTGTTGAAGGTTCCTCTTGGAGTGACTGAGAAGAAATCTGAATGGATGGCATGCAAATGGCTCATCTTGGCTGCAAGAGACAAACACCGTCGTGTACATTTCCCCCAGCAGCTAGCTACAGAGCTCATAGATGCCTTTCACAGTGAGGTGATTATCTTGTAAATATTCATTGCTCGACTAAGTAAATGCATTGCAGTAATTTTTGTTTTAGGACCTTCATAAGTTAACAAGTTACCCAGTCAAGTTCACACCCCGGAGCTTTTTTTTTTTTACCCTTTCTATAGAAAAGTCATTTATTGGTATTTACAACTACTAGAGGTTGGGGAGGAATTTCTAGCCCTCTTCTCCCTTCATAGCTCCTTTTCTGGCTATTTTCCTTCTCTCTTTTAAATTTTAAGCCTATAGTGGCAGTTCCTGCTGGTACATGATTTAAATCATGAAAGCTGTTGCTGTTACCAATTTACAACAGGGTTTTTTTTTTACTTTTCAAATGTTACTTGTAGCTGTAATTATTCATATTCTCAAGGAATTTGTTTAATTTACTAAATTACTTCCATCAAAGTAACAAACTAGTCAAAGAACTTGCCCAACTCTACATATTGTACTTGGTGCCTCAAAATCCTTTCTAAGTAGTCTCTGTATGGAATTATCTTTGTCAGGGAAGAGTGGTGAAAAGAAAGCAGGAGTTGCATCGCCAGGCCGAAGCCAATCGTGCTTATGCCCATTATCGGTGGAGGTGATGACAGTTATCTGTGATGTTCATTATTTCCTCCAGGTGCACACTGTTGTCAAAGAATAAAAATGGCAACTTAGAAACCAATGAAACTTCCATATTTATTTCCTCCCTCTCGAACAGCAAATATAAAAACGAGAGAGAGGTTCAACTTCAATGGGCACAGATGAAATGTCACTGCACACAGAAAATCCAGTGGAATGGAATCTTCAGAGGCAAGCCTCCAGTCCCTTCAACTCTGACCATAAATAAAAAATTCAGAAGACCAACTGGCAGATCACAATGATGGGCTCAAAACCAAGCCTTTGGCCTGAGACATGGAAGACCAGAGTTCAAATTCGAACGCTGGCAAAACCTTCGATTTTCCTCTTCACCTATTCTTTTGCATCTTCGCCTTCTTCTTTCGGCTTGCCAGCATATCATAGAATGGGTTGTGGCTAATGCTTGCCCTGGGAAAAAAGAAATAAGTATGCATTGTTTCATGCTCATCACTATCAAGACATGACTCCAATATTTTAAAATAATAATTTACCTGAACATAATTCTTCTATCTTGACTTACAAATAAATAAGTTCACTTTACTTTAGAAATACAATAAACCAGATACTTGATATAGGCCTATTTTTCCCACTGACTGACTTGATTCAATGGCTGGTTGAAAACAATTTACACAACCATTAAACTTTGGTGATTCCATCTTTTTTTGGTACTGAATGGTTCTAACCTTATGTTTCTTGTGCAGATTTATTCTCCTAAGCAGCTAGTTTTTTTATCATAAAAAATCCAAGATTCAATCCTAACATCTGCCAACTTTGTAGTTTCACTTTATTCTCCAATGGCTTGGCAGATCCCTTGCTTTGTATTCTAATGGATTTGTGTACTTCTAGAGGAGTTCCATAATAATTAGTCAACCAAGTCTCCTTGAAATCTGATCAGTATATGATATATAAATTTTCATATTACAGAATGGCTGAAGAACTGCAGGAAAATCCTCTACTTTCCCACACTGAGGGATCTGTATGAGTCAACCTACCGAATGCATTTCATCCACTCTTCCTTTTCTTCTGGTGTGGCAGCTGACATTCTATACACAGTGTGCTTCCCTGCAAGAAAAAAAAAAGGCTCCAAGTTTACTACATGACCAGGAACATGATACTAAGTTTACTGCAATACAGCATTCTCACTTAGGGTCTGACATGAACATGCACAAAAAATTACCATGCTCTAGATGGAGACAATCTAGGAGGCATTCAAGGAATATGTTTATATCCATTATTGAAGCATTTTCATATAAATGTACATAATCATCAATTTAACCATTTACCTACAGCACATCTTCCAAAATATTTTATACTCAAGACATCAACACCATATTGAAGATAGAAGATTAAAGAGGAAGACTTGTACCTAACACTCAAGCAAATATTCATGCTAATTAAGAGCACTCTGTATCCCACCATTCAGGCAGGGGGAGATGAGATGCACAAGCACATACATAGATCTCTGCTGGATAAGCTACCAATCCCAGAGTGATAGAATATCTACACTTAGGCCTATTGTGAATAACTGCTAATCATTCTGGTACTTGTCTACTCTGAACAATGTACCACATAGGTTAATACATTGAATCACATTAAAGAACTGCTTTGATGTCTGCCCCCATGCATTGAAGAGGCAATCAAATTCACATTGATGAGATTTCTCCAAGAGCTCACCTTCTACAACCTTGCCATCTGAGTCAGTTTTGCAGGCCTTGATGAGCTCAGATGTATCATTGTAAACTTCAAAACAGTTGCTCTTGTTTCTGTCATTGACCTCTCGGACTCGCAGGTTCTCCAATGGGATGATGCCTGTTAGAGAGAAAAAAATAAGAAAACCAAGCAAAATACACATTTTCAGCCATGAGAGAGGCACAAACCTCTTGGTTCTTTGTCGGTGGTATATTCAAAGTAGTAAAGGCAGTTGTCATTCAGGATGAACCATCTTCTCTTCCAATTCTTGTACCTTCCACCTGTGGAAAATTCATAGTTATATTGCAATTTGGCTTATGTGAGCAGCTAACTATGAATTGGATGGGTGTAGGATATCTTACCCTGCTTCCATAGCCAGCCTTCTTTGTCTGGATTGAAGAAGGTATGCATGAGGTCATTCCCATCATCTTCTGGGATCTTGAATGGCTCTGTCTTGATGCTCTCATACAAGCTCTGTAGTTTCATAATATAAAATGTGAGTAAACATGCACTAACTAGATAACATGGCATAAAGTCATGAACAAGTTGGAACTGACCATGAGGAGTTCTCGTGGAAGATCCCCTCCATTGTCAATGCCTCGATTCATGTTGATAAACTGCTCAATTGTTGGTTTCTCTTTCACACTTGGGTTGTGCAGGGATGTGTTGAGCATAATTATGGCAAAGGACAGGACATAACACGTATCTGCAATAAGAGACCACACCAGAATTGACTCCCAAAGTCTTCTAAACATAACACCTTAGTTCACTTTGAATATACAATGTTTTCAGCAACACCAATTTTAAGTTTGTCAAGACATATATATGGGAGCTGCCTAAAGGCAAGAAAACTGATTTTAAAAATTATCTTAATTTCAGTTTGCCCTTCATGCTTCTTCATCTGGACTTAAACCCAAAAATATTATTACTAACACACTATGAATGAATCAACAGCCAGACTGAACTCAATTCACTCATTTGCAATCTCTTTGAACCTCCTAGGAAGAACTAGGAAGACAAGGGTGTGGATCATCACTCAAAGAGGTGTTATTTTTTGTTATTTGATATCTATGACTCCTAATACTACCAAATGCTTTGCATCATAGCATGTGTGACTCAAAACAACAGTTTACAGCTAACATCTTTGAGCCCATTAACTACAATAAAATTTATAGGTTTGTTATGGAAAACATTTTTCGCATCCTCAGCAGCCAATAATAAAAAGACCTGTTCAATTATGTTACTGCAGTTCCCACATAAAGCCCTTGAATAGTGATGCTTACAAGAACTCTGATAAAGATATGCAACTGACTTACTAATTGAATGTAAAAGGTATACAGTGGGAGCATGATTTTCGAGGAGTTAATCATAATGCATAACTTCTTAATAATAAATTCACATTCATAAAATGAAGTCATATTCATTATCCTGATAATGCAAGTAATTTCAATTATATATTCCTGAAAAACTTCATTTCATGCAACAGTGACTTCATGGTCATGGTCACAAAGTCACTGAAATATACATCTGGGAAAGAATGTATTTCCCACAGTCTGTGAGAAGTAATAAGGAGGTGAACTCATTCTACTCTCTTTCTCATATGCTTTTATCCAATCTTGATCCAATCATGATATTAAAATTTCAAGTCCCTTGAAGGATTAAAAGCTCACTTGCAATGCCAATGCATGCAATCATCCTCAATTATTCATTGCAATTAAAGCCTGTTCGTCCATTCAGAATAATCCAATTAACAAACCTCTCTCTGCCTGCCAATTGCAGAGTGCACTTAGAATGCTCTTTGTGTTCCTTCTTTAAAGCAAACTTTTGAACTGTGACTTAATCAAGCAGGTGGGTGGACAAACCACCTGAAGGTATATTGTAAGTTTCAAAGCACTTTATCACTCAGCTTAGAAAAAGCCAATAAAAATTATTTAAAAAAACCTCAAGTTGAGTTAATGAAGTCCACTTGATTTCCCTTTACCAATTCCACGTCATCCTCATTCACTTAAGCCAATCCCATATATGTTCCTGAGAAAGGTGTATATTTATTAAGCCTCCTTAGTTCCATCTGTTAAAGTTTTTCCAGGTCCCATAAAATTGAGTAATGATGTTGATGGTCTACCAGTGTTGCTGAAAATGGAAGGATTTTGCTTGCAGTACTGCTGCGCAAAACACTCCATCATCCTATCGATCTTTTGGGCTTCTCCTGGCAGCCGGAAGCTCCAAAGGAACTGCCTGAAAATTCCAAAAGCAGACAATCGCATCATTCCAGCCGATGACTTGCGACGCCAAGTCTCCCGATAACTTATAAATCAACAATCAAACTTCGCCCCACCTGAGGGCCTGGACAAGGATCAGGTCAGAAAAGTCATGTAGTTCGACGAAGGCCTGAAGAACGGCCTGGTTGAGGTCGTTCCTCTCGCCGAGGTAGTCTCCAATGGCCGTCTTGTTCAGGCCCTCTCCGTTGTGCAAGAACTGGGCGATGTCCCCAGGGGTGTTCCTCAACAGGCCGTGCTCCATCAGGTATTCCAACCCCTTCTTTGGATCCATGTTGAACTTCTTCCTTCCGATGGACATCTGTTTCGCCCTGGTGCTGCTCTTGCTGCAACACACCGATCGAGGTTTCATTAATGACACGTAACGGGTAAAACGTGATGTAGTGTCGGAGATATGGTACGCCTGCGAAGGGACGCAGCCGTTCGTCACGCTCACCTGTTCTCACCAGGGTCCAATGTGTCCATTTCGGCCTTGACTTCCGAGATCTCATCTTTCAGTTGCTGCAACAAAGGAAAATACAAAATATCAACAGCTCCACCTTTATCATAGAAGAGTGTTAACCGAACCGAAGCAGCGTTCATCTACCGGTATATCCCAAGAACGATGTAACGTTGAGATAATTCACAATTTACCAGGGTCGTACTGTAACTGTACTTAATTGTATCGGACATTATATTACCGTTACACCCATAACCTACGCCAATTGTTCGGAACATTTCGAGCGAATCTGCAACAAAACAATGCTAACCTAGCAGCAAATTAGTCCTTACGAGGCCCTGATTTTCACAAAATGCAAACGAATTTCTCTTCGACAATGCCATTGGTAGGTGTGACGAAGGAAATGGAGTGTGGAAAAGAAAGAAAAAGGAAAGCAGAAGCGCTGCAATGCGGGCATTCGCTTTGTTCGATCGTCGATAGACTGCCGCCATTTCTATTCCCAGGGGTTTCCAATTTCCGGTCGGTCTAGCTCTTCTTCACCATAAGGGGAGAGGCCACAGAGAAGAGATAAATACCCCATCACGTGTACGTGATTCACGCAGTCCTATATCGCCTGGACTCTAGACTCTCTTCCTCTTCGAGGCAAGAAAAACAGAGGGAAAAATAAAACCATTTGCGTGCTGAACCGAACTCGTATCGGACCTATCTCTACAGCCCATAGTCATGTAGGTATCCCAGATGGACCATCGTGACGACAGGGAATTCGGTCCCAACACACGTGCAGCAGGAACTATTAATATCCGTGAGAAAGAGAGAAAAAAAGCCAATGAAGGGCGGAATAAGTGGTTCGTTTCGTGCCTGTACATAATCACCATCCTCCACAAGGAATACATTGCAGAGCCGAGGGAGGGCAAAACCAAGGCAAGGACGCTAACGGGACGGGAGGGAGGGGTGGGAAGAGTCAACGACACGAATTTCCTCTCCTTCCATCACAACAAACATCGCTATTGCCTTACCCAGGCGGGCATTTAAATCTCCCATCAGACTCGAAGCGTTGCGCAACTGCCTGAGAAACTTGGGAGACCGGAACGGTAAACAGGGTGAGAGTGAGTCAGGCGGGGGAGATATGGTTTCAGTTGAGATTCGGATGGGAATACCCGGAATAGGTCGTCCCGAAATCGTAAAACGTTGACGACGGGGAAAAAAAAAATACCGATAACGATGGGAATAAGACCTTGCCGTCTGTCGAGAGGCCCTTGACGACGCTAGAAAAACGATATCATACATTAAGCACACCTAACGTTAAACTTCAAAACTCGTCACTGGAGGAAAACTTGTGAGAACCTGATAGGAACCAATTGGTGATACTGGCATGAAAAAGAGGAACAGAATTTACTTTTCATCTATTTACTTATGATTTCCCTTTTGGAAATTCTGCTCCACGACTGCCAATACAATGGAAGATGAAACTCCCATCGCCCTCTTAGCATCACATCCCCTTTAACTTAATGGGGTGAGGTTCTCAAGTAAATTGCCAAAAAAATAGAAAAACGTTTTACGCTGATAGACTGCGTAACGACGCAAAGAAAAATAAGGAACATTTAAGCCCTGACATTGTCAGAGAAGCACTGGATCCCGTTTCCTCTCAGCAGGGATCAGGGAAATGGAAACGGTACGCAGACCTTGGCCGGCGCATTGACAAGATAGGGGTTCGACAAGGTCCCATGATTCTACTCACTCATGAATGATGAATCACATACTGGAATCCAACAGCACTTCCTCACTTAGTTATTAGCATTTCATGACGCTTGCAGGCCGTCTTACAAAATCCACCTCAGGCAGCAATCATGTGGTTTCGTATCACGCGGGGGGGGGGGGGGGATTTCACCGAAAATGCGGAAAGGAGGAAACATTTCCTCTAACCCACCCACTGAATGGAAAGCCTTCGATGTGTTTCGAGAAGAGGCGGCGGAGTCGTGACGGGTCTGGGTTTCAGTTTCCAAGTCTTCTCGACTAGAAACAGCGTATAGTTGACAAGTTCCGATACTTTGGAGACGAAGCTATCACGCAGGAACAACTTCATCTTCACCCACGTCTACCTTTTCCCTATCGTGCACAAACGTCCCCCGGGATCCTCAGACACACCACTGCAGCGCAAACGACCCACGAACATGCAGCGTCCCTTCGCGACGGAGGAGTGGGGCAGACAGACTACACCAGGGAACCAACTCCACTCTCGCTGCACGGAGTTATGGCCCGAAGCGCGCACCCTTCCTTCTCCCTCCCTTCACCTCCTGGCCGTTTCTATCCTGAAGACCACTTTCTTGTGCTTTACGCAACCTGATTCACCATCGAGATAGTCAAACGCCCCCACTCACTCCTCTCGACGGGTGACAAAAGCACTTTGGATGAGAAGACCTTATCGTACAGACTTCGACCTCTATATTTTAAAGTCCAAAAACACAGGTCACCTTATTTCTGTCGACAACGACCACGATATTTCTGTCGATAGAAGACAAATTCAATCAACAGAGGCTAAAATAGAGGTCACACGAAACTCTCCCGGACGTGAACTCTTCGGTATTCCTGCATATTCATCATCCAAAGGATTTCTCCGCTATGAGCGTGAATAATTCACGGCACGCAGGGGACGGGCCAATCCCATTCTTAGCAGTGATAGACGGACACCCCGTGGTCCTTGTACTGTGAGTAAGAGACTCCGCGACCTTCTTCCCACGCACCCCTTCCCCTTCAAACTATGTTTGGTCAAGGGATTTGTTCCCTTCCGAACTCATTTGTTACCACTCAGATTACTGTATCGTGCGACTTAATCCCTCGGTGATGGGCGTTCGAAAGAAAAAAGGGGGGGAGGGAAACAAAACGTATGCCTCCAACTTCCAAGCTGCGGTAGACCACTCCCCAAAAGCCTATTTGGTGGTGCAGGTTGTTGAGTAAACATAGTGGAGGGAAATGAGGGATGGTTGGCTCAGCGCGAGGGGGACAAGGCAGGAGCGATGAAAGAGACCACCCAGAATGTGAAAATCCCAAGTTTCCTGCTCAACCGATGCAGGGGACGGAAGAGAGAAAGAAAGAATTAATGAATACGCGGAGGAGTACTGCACTGCGCCGTGCCGTATTTGGAGAACCCTCGTTTGCAAGGATCATTCCCACTTCCTCCCGGATGCTTCGCTTGAACTCGCTCAAGTCTAGCGCTATCCAGTCGATCTCCCTACCTTCCTTTCTTCGTTCTTTTTCCTTCTCCCCTGGCAATCTTCCTTTACGTAATCCTTCGCAATGCCTATATCGCGGGGGATCCGGAGTGCAAGATAGCGTGATCGCTCAAAGGGGGGACGCGCCTGACTTCTCGACGAGAACACGGCATGAACACGATATCCGAAGATGATCGAAGATCCTTCATCCCATGAGGAATCCGAAGAGGAGAGTCAGGATAGGGACACTCACTTTAGAAGGGCTGGCTTCAATAAACACTAGGCATTGTCCCGAGACAATCGTACACACGCGTAACTTATACAGTCACTATCGTACTGTGAGGTCTTTCTCATGATTCCCAAACGTGAAACTTTGGGACCTTCAGAAAAGGGACGGCAGAAGGTGAAACAAATATCGAGGGAGAGACGTGATAGATCGACCTACTAAGAGGGGTCAGATACATGAAAGTCAAGGAACGCTAACTGGCTCCATTGAGTGAATGATTGCAAGGGAGACGTTTCGCTGCACAAGACAGTCCATTATATGTTAATGCACGTCAAGCCCAAAGACACAGAATGAATCAAATCCTCCACAACTGATGGTATTCGCCGAATCGCGAGTGCCGAAAAGTGAGTCTAACCCACGACTGGATCGCACTCGGGATTTGTGGAGCATGAACGTAACGAGATGAAAATGGCAACAGGGCATGAAGGATTCCATCAGCCCATCCGCCAGCCCCTTCGCCCAGCGTATCGAACGAAAGGAGCCTCTCATCATTGATATTCAAAACGGATCTAACCCGATTCAATTCGGACGCTTTCAACTGTTCATCGAAGGCACTCGAATCGTGAACTCTCCTGGCCTACAATTCAACTCCGGGCGTTCCAGCCACGAAATTGAGCCACGCAGAGTGGGAAGTGAGAGACGTGACAAAGGAGAGATGGATGAGCCGACGGGAATTAGAGAGTAAAGTGCAATGAGGCATGTTGGAGTTTCTCTTCTCACCACGCTGGGCCACGCCCTGTCCGTTTCGAATGACCACCCGTGCACGTGGGGGATAATAAATGGCACATACTCGGTGGAGCCTATTAGTATGTCAGGTATCGATACAACATATACTTATGCCGTTCGATATCAGATGCATATAGGGCGCCTTACGAACTGGATCTCGAACCCTGCAATCGATCAGGTGAGTATAACGATATGATCGACTCGATGCAAAGTCGGTCGCTATATTATACTTATCAGAGGGTCAGAAACACGATTCTTCCCGTTACTGAAGAATAACAATATGTTGCATTTTTTCCTCGTAAAAGAGGGCTGGGAATCGAATTATTTGTGCTGAAGCATATACAGTAAATCTTAAGGCTATTTATATTTTTACCAGTCAATAACTCATTTGAACCTGGCCTACTGAGAAAATATTTTAATGGAACAGATACCACAAGCGCAGTGGATACCGTCATATCCATCAATTTCGTCCAATCCATCTTGTACTTTTTTAATATCACGCATACACGCATCGCCCAAAGCGTCATCATTCTCCACTGGACAGGAGGCCTGGTAAGGTTTTATGGACTCACATATAGTAGATCTCTAGCAAGTACTCCTCTCCAAGGAAAAGAAAAACCTCCCTCCTTCCATGGGCATTTTCGAGCTGGTATAGTATCACATATTTCCTCTGGACTGCTCCTTATGCCGAGCCGTGACGATGGCAACGTGCACGTCATTAGTGAGCCACATTTATACAGCTTTCGCCGCATTTATGAAGCTTTCCAGCAAAAGGCAATTTTTCATCGTAAAATATGCTGATGAGCAATCACGGGAAAAGAGGAGAGAGAGAATACCAGCTCGAACATGCAAAGAGAGCGTGGAATTATTTCCTGGAAAGAAATATTTGCATGCAGTTAAAGCTTCAAACAATGAATCGAATGATTAATCTCTCTTTTAGGGCGAGAAATTAATCGTTCAATAAATCTTATCAGATTGGCAGTCTTACAAATACGTCATTTACAAGTTACTCCTTCGTTTTGTCGCTTTGTGGAAAGCATTGACCTACTTTTTAAATATATACATCATGCCGGAGTTTTCCCTCGAAATAAGGTCTGCCTAGCTTGGTTTCAAAGCCAGGTCCCACGCGATGGGAACACAAAGCCCTGGTAACGTTATCTTGGAATGTATCGCAAAGCCTCATTTCCTTAATGGAGAACTATTTATAACCCCCCCCCCCCCTCCCCCCCGAGAGATTACATATTTTTCCAATCGTATGATATGTATCGAT